TTCTGTAGTTACTATTTTTAATCTATTTTCAATAAAGAGTTTAACGTTATATGTAAGACATAATCAGTGGAATAAGACACATTCTGTCGTTGTTATTCTTAATCTATTTTCAAGAATAATCGATAAACTTTGAAGCTAATTGCGCAGTCGCATTTGTGTATTTACAGATCAATTAAATACTCTCTCTTTTAATTTGGATAGAAGTAAAAGTAGGATGCATCTTATGATGAACATATTTTCATTCAACAGATAAAACAACTAGCAAGTGACGTAAGCGAAAAAGCCCATGCTATACATAAGCAGGTAGGATAATTGCATTTACTCTCGATTTTCGATTATTGAATCCGAGTCGATAGGATTATCGTTTACACATTTTTAATTAAAGAGAGAAGGAGTTGATGAACCATTGAGAGTAGATTTATTCAATACAGAAAACAAAATTACATGAAATACTTTTTGGTACCTACAAAAAAGGCATTTTGAGCTTCTTATTAAAATAAGATTTGTTTCTCCTCGACAGCTGAAAGGCAGAAAAATAAAACCATGGCTGAAACACATCGCAAAAGTTATGAAAAAATTGGTTTGGATGTGGAGCAAATATTTCAACGGTCTTGAGATTCTGGTGAGTAGAAATCTCTTTAGAATGGATTTGCTTCAGACGATATAGGCAAAATTTGATACGACTGATATACATCCCATTTTATTTTCGTGTTATTGTTCAAGAGAATTAATCACAAAGAGAACCAGAATTTATGTCTTGTTTTTATAAAGAATAAATCAGGAGCTACATAATATATTCAATGTTTCAAATTTAATCGAAGTATTTCATGCTTTCTTTGAATATAAAATCAATTTTCGATTCTCACTTGGAAGCCTTAGGAAGAAATAATCAAAAAGCAATTATTGATTAAAATTTAATAGAATTTTTACGAATTAGAATTTGTGAAATTTTTAAACAATGTAATCACTGATGCTTGGTAATCAATAGTATTCAATACCAAACTTCTAAAAAGCATTTTCCTTAAAGATAGCTACTTTTCTATAGGAACAGCAAGATAAAGATGGCTGCCAAGATAACATGATTCTGTTCAACAAGTTCTCAGATTATGAAATGAGGCAATATAAGAAGCATATTGGCATTGCAACCAAAGAAATACGACGGTTGCTCCCAGAATGCAATGTGAAAGCAAAGGAAGAAGACAATGAGAAACTGAAAAAGCTTGAGGCAAAACTTCAGGAAACTTATGGAAGGAGAAGAACTGGTTCAAGCAGACAACCTGACCAGTTCAACGAAATGCAGGAACATGTAACGCCACGACAAGTTTCGAGAAAGGACAATAAACTAACAACTGAAAACTATTGTCACAATCAATTAGCAAATTTAACTGGCTCTAAACCAATTATCAATCCTCCAGTCAATCGTAAACGAGGCAGATCTGAAATTGAGTCTGACACAACACCCCAGGAATATCATTGTCCTAAGAAAGTTCGATTTACTTTTGAAAATTGCCACCTACCCCAGAAAATAGCTGCCCATGAGCCATGGTTGAAATTAACAGAAAAATTTGTGAATAGGTCTCGCAAAACTCGACCTATTTCCCAAAGTAACCCACCGTCTGGCTGCAGCAAAAGGGGTTAGACTGACAAATGTTGAAGATGATTGAAAAATGCTGATGAAAAGACATTCCCCTCTCACTATACTCTATAAACATTAAATGGAAGATATTGGTAGAAGAAAAATATAATTTTCACTTTTAGTTTGCTAACTTAAAATAATTAAATTCAGTAGCCTTGTATATAAGATATATTCAAATTATACTGTGGATATTATAGAAAATTTTGCGTTATTAATCAAGCTTTTTCTGTGACTACGATTGTTAGATATTGCAATTATTCTTATACTGAATATGAAATTGGACAATAAAAGCAACATTCTTGGCAAATGGAGTAAAAGATTCACCATAAACGATTCCAACTAGATTATGAGTTTCTTCAAATAACAGGAACGATATTTGCAGCAAAGAGAGCAAATCTTGAGTTCCTCTTACAGTATTGTCAAATAGTTGTCTATTAAAGCAGATTTTGTTAACCTTTGTAATTTCAAATATTTTCTGTTGGTTTTGATACGATATAGATATCTGATTTCATTTCCATGTCGAGTAAATGGTTTAAATTCAACATTTTATAGCTTGGCAACAGCCTAAGCAATCTTTCCAAATTCCAAATGTAGTTGTCAAAAATGTTTGTCTCTGTATTGGCGTCATAAACTCGCAGAGATATGAAAAAATACATTCAAATTGAAAAGATTTTGTAAAAAGAACTACGAAAATTTGACACATTAAAACTTGACGCTTTAATTGCCAAGCCTATTTGTTCATTAAATCCAGGGGGCTGTCCAATAAAAAAGAAAATATTAGGGCTGCAGGCGCAATTGCCACCCTAGTTAGTATCTTAAGAAAGGCCCCGACTTTCTGACTTTTGGCATGATCATCATGGAAGTTTCGGAATACAGATCAACAAACTGTACAGTTTTCCAATTGAATAACAAAAGCAATGTGAAAAGTAGGCAAAATGTAATTATGTTCTAAAAGTGACAGTCCTCGATATATAACAGTTTTTTGGGGACTTTTTCTGTTTATCAATATCTAAAGACCAACTACAATATGAATATACAAAACAAATTAGTTTCATTATTTTTTGTTGTCTTCAGTTAAGGGTCTATATGAAATAGATTTCTAGACGAGTTTCTTAAATAAACAAAAGGCTGAAAGGGGCTTCCTTCTTTGTGTGATCATGAACCAGTCGTTTGGAAAGGAAGTGCATGTCTTATCGATATTTCGATAATAATATACAACTGTCTAATCCTCCAATAATGACTCAAATTCTTATCGTTACTCATAGAGAAAAAACAACTTTTCGTTCAAAAGATTTTTCGATATCTGCTTCAAACTTTTTTCGATATTTTCTTTTAAGATTGTTCTTCTACAAAAGATTGCAGTATGTTCCAAGAAGCATTTATCTTTTTGAACCTTTGTATTTTTAAAATAATAAATTTAGAATTTTAGAAATAGGTGAATTTAAGGAATTAATTAAGACTGATACCCAGGCTCAAATGTCACCCATTTAGACTTTCAATCGGTAAGAGACTTTTGAGCAAACGTGGCAAGCGATAATGAATGGTTTTGAAAAATTGCAATGACAATTAAAATTGCACTCAAAATCAGGGGCGAAACTACCGGGGGGTGTGGGGGGGTGTGACACCCCCCCAATCCAAAATATAGTCGATTTCGCAGGGCAATCGAAGATTTCGCAGGGCGCCAAGAAGAGCTTTATTGCCACGCAGAAATGCCACCTCTGAAGTTCATAAAGAGCCGTTTAGGAATTTTGAAATGGAAATATCGTATTTGTTATGAACCTCCCTTCCTGACATTGCATTTTAGAGAACGGAACAGGTATGTAAGGAAAAGCTCCGTTATTTGCAAAGCGAAAGCATTTCTTACCGAAAGTCATAGCCAATGGATGCAATGGTTGATGCATATGTTTATGAGGGCAAGGTTGAGTCATGCAAATTAATGTTGTAAATTATTTTCATGACAAGCACGGCGTCACTGGGGGGGGGAATAAGGGGCTGAAGTCCCTCACTTTGGTCAAGATAGGAATTTTTCTATCACTTTTTCTATTACTTTTTAACAGTGCATGAACTAAAAAACATAATAAATCGTTAAGATACCGATTTTGTTTCATCTAATTGCTAACTTTTTCACGTATATTTTTATTATTTTTCTTTTATTTGCATTAATTCAGTAAATCATTTTCTGTATCATTGCAATGTTTTAATTTTGGATGTGTGAACATGGCCTTCTTGATACAAGAAACTGCACATTTCTGTCCAGGAAAAAAAATTCTCCCAATCAAAACAACATCTTCCTCTGTCATTCACAACTACGTGCAATCTGAAACGAAAGGTTGTCGTTTCTTTCCTTCCCAAACGTCTAACAATAGAGTTTTAGCATGACATCCCCCTCCCTATTTTTCCCAATAAACAATAATATTTTCAATAAACAATCAGTTCTTTTAGCACAATAGTATTTTGCTAAATTTTTTTCTGAAAGATGCTTTTTAGCCCTTTTTACAAGGTATAATTTCAAAAAATTTCTTCACGTCGGACCCAACCATGGTGGGTCCTCCTACCTCACTAAACTCGACTCTTAGCCCCACTGAATTAAATTTCGTTGCGCTGTCTACATCATGTGCCCCCCCCCAATTAGCTGTTTATTAGCCTAATTTTGCAAACCAACATTAAATGAAGTGAATATAAAAAAACAATTTACGCTCACGTAGAGAAATAGAAATTTCATAGGCAATGAAGTTTCAAGTTTGTTTTTATTGCTTAGAAGTTTGTCCTTGGTAAAGACCAGTGTACACTGGTAAAGCTTTCACTGGTAACCTATAGACAAACCGTTGCTACGAGGTCTGCAGGGCACCACTCAGTTTTGCAGGGCAGAAACCCTTTTCACCCCCCCAAACCTATTGGCCAAGTTACGCCCCTGCTCAAAATTTAAACTTTGCAATGACAATTTTTGAAAAATATGGTGGCTCGATTAACTTTAATGAATTCTTGATAAAACATTTTCTTCTCATAAGTGATATGGCAACTAAAAACGTCTTCCTTCAAAATCGAGGGGGGGGCCTTTAACTAATTTGATTCTTTTTTCTTTTATGTCAAAAGACATTTTGCGATCCTGGAAAATAATATAGACACGATTCTGATATTCTTAGGTACCTTATTATAAAGAGGGTATTTTTAATTATTTCAAAAATAACCCATCTAGATAAATCTGTGCGAAAATGTTTTCTTTAAAGTGTGAATTTTGGTTTCAAGATATAAGTAGAGCAGATATATTATTGTTTATTTTTGGCTGTTGCTGTTGTTGTAGCTGTTATCTAAAAAGATCAAGGAACTCTTTTCAAGGCAAACCAAGGTAATGAAAATGCTTTAAAAATCTTGTTTTACCTTTTTTAATGAAATTAGAGTTTCTTTTTCGTTTCGTTGGTTCAAGACACTAAACTGATTCCTCTTCCTGTGGGACGTTGTAGGCCAAATGGTGGAATGGCGCTCAAATGGCGTGTTGCTGGTTCGAGCTTCTCATACTTGCTCCGAGGGTTTTACATGGGCTGCAATCAAAGAAACCCGTCAATTCTAAGTAAGAAATATAATACTTTAACTTTAAACATGCATTTTCTAATACAATGTGTTTGTATCATATTTTGTTGGCATATTTTTTATCTAAGTCATTTCCCACTTTAAAAGGATGATGAAATGTAAAAGAAATTAAAGACACCTTTTCTCTTAGCGATTTTTTTATATGATAGATATGTATAATATTGTTATTTCGTCTTTGATTGACATTGTATGTGTAATGTTTGTTCTAGTGAATTTTTGTAAAATGTCTGGAATCAGTGCTGAAGCTCAATCTGTGTTGGATTTCTGGTTTGAACCTGGCAAGGAGTTGCAAGATCATTTCGCTGTGTGGTTTGGAGGGAAATCCCAAGATGAGATTATAAAGAGCAAGTTTAGTGATCTGGTAAGTTTTCACTTCTAGACCATGTTTTATGCGATCAGAAGCAAATACAAGATCATACATGGTTTAATGCTGCCCTTGCAAATATATGCCTCTTTACAGGACAGTACACAAAGAGGAGGACAATAAACAGAGCATGAAGTAACAAACTTGTCACATCAATAGTACAAGGAAACTATATAGATATAATTGAAAAAAGTTAATTAGTCAGCAATGCTAAGATAGCCATGGGCCAGGTTGGAAAACATGTACAGTAGGGACCCGCATAAACAAACCTAGGTTTTTTCTGGCAGCCTGTATAGGTTCTTTATTAACAGGCTGCTATTCTAAATTCCTGTCTAAAAGGTTCTTAACAAGGATCTTATATACATACAGGCCTTGCATACATTATCAATGTTTTCCACTGCAAGAATTCTAATGGACACACTTAAACAGCTTTTTTTATGTTAAATTTCAACCAATTTAATGAATTTGTGTTGTTAGATTGTTCAATTAGAATGCAACATACCATAGCCTGATTTACTCTAAAAACCCTTTTTTCTTATATATATACAAGAGCCTTTCCAAATTTCAGCCACCTGGGGGTTCTTAATTATGGGGTTTTGAAGGTTAAATTTTAGCCTTTAATGTCCTTATAAAAACAGGTTCTTTTATGCGGGTTTCTACTCTATAATTTTGCGGACATGTCAATGCAGCCAATGGCACATTTTCAGTTATGACCTTAGAGCAGGAGCATTTGAGCTATGTGCAAAGATGCCCATATATACATTACTATACAAGACTGTAGTATAACATATGAACTCATTGATATTTTTGGTCACTAGAGGCCTGGTGTGTGAGCACAAGCAGTCCACTGTCACAGCGAGCATATACAAGTTTTCCAGCCTGGGCCAGGGGTGGCACCAGTTGCAAATATGTTGGGTGGATTGGGGGCTTGCCCAGAAATGTTTTTGAGGGCATGCTATCTTTATTGCATGAATGGTCCTTTTTAAATATATCACAAAAACAATGATGAAATAGGCTTGATAATCAAAATATCATCAAAACATCTTCTTTACTAGCTCAAAAGTGGAAATTTTCTACAACGAACTGTTTTTAATTTACCATTTTCTCATCAATTTTGGATCAAATAGAAAATCAATTTTTGAAAAAAGAGGGTTGAACATGGCCACCTTAGTCCACTTGGTAAAGCAGCCTCTTGAAAGGACTGATTTGACATGTGGATTGAATCTTTTTGTAAGGACTGTGCACAGGCACAGACTGTAGCAGACATTTCTAAGAGAGGCCTCGTGCATACCATATTTATTTGATTATAAGCTGTGGGTTATGATTATTTTTTTGCACATTTTGCTGTGGTTTCTTATCAGGGACAACTTACATTTTTTAATCAACCCAATTTGCTGTGGCAGAGAGAAGGCCTGATTAAAAATAAAGAATTTTCTGTTCAATCCACTGTATGTTTTAACTATATTTTACATACAATACTACTGGATTTGATTAATGAAAACTGGTTAAACTTTAAATTTACATTTTATTCTACTAGCATTATTTTCAATTTAAGGATAGAAGGTCAAAAGTTAATATCGGTTTGTCTCGTTTCTCTTCTGCCACAAAAATCTAGCAGCTTAACCCCTTTTGCTGCAACTTGATCTCACTTTGCCTTGCAAAGTATGTCGAGATTTGTAAGACCTATTCACAAACTTTTCTGTTAATTTCAACCATGGCTCATGGGCAGCTATTTTCTGGGGTAGGCGGCAATTTTCAAAAGTAAATCGAACTTTTTTAGGACAATGATATTCCTGGGGTGTTGTGTCAGTCTCAATTTCAGATCTCCCTCGTTTACGATTGATTGAAGGATTGCTAACTGGTTTGGTGGCAGGTAAATTTACTAATTGATTGTGACAATAGTTTTCAGTTGTTAGTTTATTGTCCTTTCTCGAGGTATATCGTTTTGTGACATGTTCCTGCATTTCGTTGATCTGGTCAGGTTTTCTGCTTGAACCAGTTCTTCTCCTTCCATAAGTTTCCAGAAGTTTTGCCTCAAGCTTTCTCAGTTTTGCGTGGTCTTCTTCATTTGCTTTCACATTGCATTCTGGGAGCAAGCGTCGTATTTCGTTGGTTGCAATGCCAATATGCTTCTTATATTGCCTCATTTCGTAATCTGAGAACTTGTTGAACAGAATCATGTTATCTTGGCAGCCATCTTTATCTTGCTGCTCCTAAGTAAAAGTACCAAATGTTAACATGTTTTCAAGGATTCTAAGTGGAAGTCAAAAAGTAATTTCATATTCAAAGAAAGTGAGATAGGTTTTATTTTGCTAATTTATATTGAAAATGAAAAGTTTCTCCATTTAAATAGGATTTAGGAAGATATAGCTATTTATTACCGACTGTCAATGATTTTGCTTTTTTCAAATTTCGATAAACTTTTATCTTTTCAATGCATTTCTCACTTTTTAAACTCAAAATCTAATTGTACATTGAAAGGTTGTGAGAAATACTTCCACTGGGATGTTAAGGGTTAAATTTATTATTTAGCTCTTTTCTAACTGGTTTCTGTTCACAATCTCCTTCCAAAAAATGGGCCGTAAGTTTAGTTAATGTATGTAATTAATTCGCATCATTAGCACAAAAGTAACAAGGCATATATACACTCATATCAAATTTGCGAATTTTAAATATCAGTTGTATTTTATATTGCCTATTTCTACCAAAGAAGTATCGACATCCTTCTTGTACTTCGACTTACCAAAATTTCTAGTCCGTTGAAAAATTTGCCCCACATCCAAACCATCTTTTTCATGACATTTGCAATGTGTTTAAGCCATGGTTTTATTGCCTTTCCTTTCAGCTGTTAAGGAGAAATACCCATTGCTTACAATACGCTAGCAAACATCATAGGCCTTCTTTGTCAAATGGAAGTATTTATTTCAAGCAATTTACCACTAAATTGTATATATCACCCAAAACATTTCTCTTAAATTGAATATGCATAAAATATTATCCTATCAATTTCAGAATGAATAGTCGAAAAATCGAGATTAAATACGATTAACTACCTGTTTGTATATATTATGTGCATTCTCATTTACTTATCCTGCCAGTTGTTTTATCTGCAAAAATAAAATAAATTACAAAAATGTAAAAATAGAATAAATTGCAAAATTTTGCAATTGAATTGAATTTATTAACTCATCTTTCCCCTTTTAACTTTGTTAACATAGTTTACATAACATCCTTTTTTCAAGTTTTGGCAATTTCTCTATTCATGGTTTTTCTAGTGCTTAATTCGTATATGTTTGGTACTCACCATGCGAAAACAGAAATTTCTGTAGTTGGGTTGGAGCAAGTTTACATTGATACGTTGATGATGTGTTGGATGGTTGATGTTGGTTAGCTTGTCAACATTCAACAGAAGATCATCTGCAAATGATAAAAGCATTTCATTTATTCAAAGATTTTATTACGTAGTTGGCTTGGATTTTTCGGATAGTCTATATTTGTAAGGTTTTCGGTAGTACAGATGAATTGCGACTTTTGGTAACTCAAAAATTATGAAATCTTATAAACAAGAATTGTCATCCAACCTACCGACCTTTTGAATAAAGAGTCTCCTTATTCAATTTTTCTGAATTCTAATTTTGACAGGGCAGAAGTTTGTAATGTAATGATTATTGCCTTATTTTGTAATGGTTGAGTCAGCAGTCAGACTTTTTTTAGCAGGTCCATATTTAAGTTGTAAGCCTCTTACCAATTCTTTTGAAAAGCTTTTCGCATTCTGCAGCTATTTCTTTCCTTTGACCTTCAATCAGGCCATGTCGGAACTGCAAATGAAATAAATAATGTGAATCTAAGGTGAGGAATTTTCTGAGGCAAGGTAAAAGATTTAGTAGAAATTGGCAGACTTTGTTATTTCCAGAAACTATTGCAGCTTCCCTTTGATTGTGACTTTTTGTTGCCTTTATCCGGTCATTGCTGCCATGGCGCAATATAACACGACCATAGTTCTATGATAACTATTGCGAAATTTCAACTTGGTCCCTCATCTAGATTTTTTTTGTTTTCCTCGCAATTATTGCTGTCTGTATACTTTGAAATAAATTATCCTCCTTTTTTATTATTCAATATCTTCCCGTGTATTTATAATCGGCTTTCTTTAGTCATTGGTGCTATTACGCATTATGATGCGTCCATGTTTCATAGTTCTTATTGCAAAATCTTAATTTCGTCGCTTATCTTGATACCTTTACGTAATGTTTTTATAATTGTTTTCTTTTACTTTAACCTCCCAGTAATTGGTCTTGTATAATTTCAAAACAACTTTCGATTTTCTTTCAACAATTCTGTCTCTTTTTGCAAGTATATCTGGAAATTGTTCTTATCTTGATTTGAAATTTTTATCGTAACATTTTACAGAGAGGGCTGGAGCCGAGTCCCATCCTTAGTAACTGTGGCTAGCAACATTAAGTCATCACGTGACATATTTTAGGTTTTCTTAGGCCCGTGGAGATTTAAAGTCCAAGCATCACTTTTTTGGCAATTTATTAACTTTTTTCAACATTGAAGAAGCAAATTGTCTTCCATTTGTTTGAAATTTTGTACCCGCAAGTTTTTTAAATATTTGTAGGTGATTTATATCTTTAAAGATTTCGGAAAACTATGGCTAAGGTTTCTTACCTAAACTCAGTCAAGGGCTCAAAAAGACTTTTGACGAATTTTTAGACGAAATTTAAAAAAAAATGGGAATTCGCAACTCAATGATAGTTTCGCTAACTGTTGGTACCTGATGGAAGACTTTTACTGTTAAGTTGTTGTCTCCTTTAATCGCATAAAATTTCAAAGTCGGACTTTAAAGCCTTGCCAAGGATATTTAACAATCGATCGATCGAACAAACCTGTGAAAGAACGATCGATACCAACGGAATTTGATTCGACATTCTCCTCCGCAGCGTACACCTTCGTTTTCAGTATCTTTGTTGTGAATAAAGATTCGCTTTGAGAATTCTTTTGTTGTCACGAGCGAGTCGTAAGGTTTGAGCTCCTTGATTAAAATCAAATCGCAACAGAAATGGCAGTTGATGAACTGTGGCTTTTATACTGTTGCGGATGTCCAATTTGACGTAAGAAACGTTTCTAGGGGTTTGTTTACATTGTTGTTACGGCAAATTGAAGTGCATCAAAATCTCATAGCTTTTCGTGATTATCGAATTCAATTTATCTGTTAATATTTACTTAAATTAGGAAATTTCTTGCAACACTTTATTTAATACTTTCTAAACCGTGGTTTTATGTCTTTTGCAGATAGAAAAGGCGCGTACTGGACAGTTGAAACCTTGGGAAGAAGATCCAAAAAGTGCTTTGGCTCATATCATTCTCATTGATCAGTTTTGCCGAAATGTTCACCGGGTAAAGATCACTTGACTTATTTTTACCTTTGTATTAGACAGGAAATATTATAATCTGAAACTTCTGTAAAAACCAAAAGGTTTTGCAAATTATTTAGTAGTATGAGGAGCATCTTCTTGTGTATGTATATTGCGCTTACATTTAGCCAGAGATTTAAAATTTATTTTGTATTGAACTCAAATTTTATTATTTTTTCCACTGAAAATCGTGTTACAATTAAGAAATGCTACAGGAAGGGAATACCCATATATCGAAAATACAGTCATTATTTCTATTTTTGCTTTCTTTATTTAAAGTTTGTACAATCTCTAGCTATACTAAAGCTAATTAAGGCCAATTAATTTAAGGTACCATCACTGAATACAGTATAATTCAAATATAATTTATATTTTATATGTATTAGTTGCAAATATCACAAATACAGTTGAACGATGAAAAGTCTGGTTTTTTTCTTTAAAACTAGTCAGGTTGGGGAGTACTTTATTTTGTTTGGAACTGAGTTCCATATTTGGCTATATCTATATGACACGGAACTAAATCAATGTATTTTGAAATGTGGCTCCGTTTTTTATTAAATTGGGAATTATAGGGCCTTCTCAACTCCTGAAATCGTTAGAAGTGCCATTGTGGCAAGTTATTTTTCAAATTTGTTGTCCTTTTACCTCGCATATGCTACCCGTTTTGTTAGTTGGGTCTTATGGTATCATGTAGAGGAACTTCTAATTTGATGTGTGAAGCTCCTTTTTTACTTTCTCAGCATCAGTTTGTTGTGATTCATTGATTATTTTTGCTATCGTTCACTACAGTCTTTTGCCGTAGGGAAGCCCAAAGTCCTTTGACTGCGACCATGTTTCTCTGGGCATTGCAAAGAAGGTAATACGATCGGCAGTAGTAATTGAGAAAATGGTTTTGAAAAAATCAAACTTTTTGAATCACAATAAACGAAAAGCTTCAGTATTTTTTGAATGTTTGCTTTTTTTAAGACTATTTGTAATGCATTTGTCTTTTTGCATTTGTTATCAGAACTGTGTGATATCTACTCGGAGTATCAATGCAAACAAAAATACTTGACTAGTATACAATAAAGCAGATTTTGCTTAGAGGATCAAATGCTTTCCGATCCTTATGCTTATATTCACACTAATACTTTAAATATACTCTATTTATAAACTTTTATACCATAAAGATATATAGAGTGGAGACTGTTTGACTGCTAAAAGAATTACTGTTGACCCCGCCTGCGCATTGATTGAGTACATATATTGCTTTAATTTGGTTTTCCCGACATGCTATTCGATGTGAAAAAGCTGCCTAGGGGGGGGGGGGGGGTTGAGCCAAATCCTGAACGGGTACTCAAGCTCCTAAGTCTTCACGAAGTCGTAACCTATGCAGTTGAACATAAAGCAACTTGTATCGTTTTGCCTTTTAGGATTTCGGTGCTATGTTGCTATCTTTGTGTTGAATATACACCACGAAATTTTGTCACGACGAAATTCTGAAAAGTTTTCCGAAATATTTTTGGACAAAGTTTATCCGCCGAAAATATATTTGACGAAATTTGTTGTTGTTAATGTAAGTGTGGGCTCGAAACTTGCATTAACTCTCGAAAAAATATTTAACCTTTGAAGCCGTCCTCTAAAACTTGTTACTTTTTTGTCAAATGTTGTAGCTAGTTGAAAATGGCCGATACAAAGAGCTAAACCCAATGGAAAGGTTCTTCTCGAATCTTCCTTTTGAACACAGTGAAAACATGGATGACCAGGTACATTTTCTATTTTCTTGTATTTAGATATCACGATTTTTTCTTTTGATCCCTTGAAATCTTATATCTGATCTGATATCTTCCACAGTAAGTTTAATTCTGGGAAAATTTGTTTTTCTGGACACTTTTAAAAGTACTTTGTCAGTATGAAATTAGAATTGTCTACATATATTGATGTGATAGCTTTAGTGAAGGCTTTGAGTTTCAAGGTAATATGGTGCATAAAGAAAACTGCAGCTCTACTATTGTTATCTATAAAACATATGAAATGCCAATTCCTTTATTGTACACTTTCTTAGACTTAACGTTTAGACTTAGCTGCGATGATTTATGTTTATAATCTCACCAGTGTTCAGGATTTTAATCTTTTTGAAGATTCTAGTCGCAATCTTTGTCCAACCCCAACTTTCAAATCTATATACGTTGGCAGGACGCATTCAACAAGTGGCGTAGTTTTACCTTACATACGTACTAGATGTGAAAGATCATTAAAAGTAAAATATACCGACGAAAACATTGATTAAGTTTACCGAAGTTCATACTGCCTCACCTACGCCTTCTGCATTTGACCATCAAGTTGTAGTTTGACAATTCCCTAACTGTATTGTTTGATTGATTGGCAGGATACTGCACTCAAACTTTACAAGGAGCTAGCTGCAGATACCAAAGGAACCAAGTATGAGGGTTTGGGTACAAGTGGAGTTTCATATTCGCAGAAGCACCGGGTGAGAAAGTTTTGACTTTATATTCAAATAATTTCTCATTGTATAAGCACTCTAAAAATATAGAGCTCAGTATGCGAGGTATTCACGTTGAGCTTAATGTGCGAGAATAATGAGAGCAATATGCGTTATATTTCTTTCATGATAAAAATCATATATTTTCCTTTTCTTTCGAAGCTCTAATTATTTAATTATGAGTACAAATAATAGAAAATTGTAAATTTGTATGTTGACCGTTGTAGAAGGGGATATAATGTTATCTCTTTGCTGAGTGCCCAGAAATAAGCATTTTCTGACGATCTTTCAAACATCTTTATAATAAGCAGCTTTGGGTGGGACTTGCACAAGCCAAATACTTGAAACCTCGTTTGCACATAGGTCACTTTGAGGCATAAACTTGTTGCTAAAAATTGCTGCGAAAGAAAATTTGAATTTTACGGCACAATACTAGATTAAATAAATTATATTTTGAGTTGTAAGACGCCCTACAAATTTTAATTTTTTTTGAAGTTGATTATTCCTAAAAAGTGTTTTTGCAAAATTTTTGCAGAGCTATTATTTGCAATATTTTCATATAGTAAACCTTTATTTTCATTGGATAGGTTTCCAGAAAAGAAGACTTTTGCAGCCATGGCTGGCCCTAAAAACAGTTTTAAACTGTGCCAGATATTCTAGAAATCTATGATTCGTTTTGATGCTTCTGCCCAGTCATGAAATTCCCAGAGAGGGTAGAATTTTAAGTTGAGTTCTGTCGTTTTTTAGGAAGTGATCGAGAAGTTTGGCCGTTTCCCGAAGAGAAATGCTGTCCTTGGAAGAACCAACACACCTGAAGAGGAGGAAATTTTGAAGAATTATCCTTACAATTTCTAGAGATTCAACTGCTGGCAGATGACAATTTTTAATTGGAAAACACGCTTTATGCATATCTAATACACGCATGAACACCATATACACACTGTTTCCTTAAGCATAATGACACTGCACAAATATCCAGACGCACTTGCTGTTTTTAACTACAGATGCTGGACACAATTTTTATTCCATCCAACAAGGCAGCACTTTTCAAAGGGCTGGAATAGATACGAAGCATGCATTGATGGTTGAATTTGTGCTATTGTATCTTGAATTTATTTAACCTTTTATTGTAACTTGAAAAAACTATCCCGGCTCAATGTTTGAGGTATTTGATAAATGCAAATTAGAAAATATTTCTTTGCAATCCGACTTTTTACCACAAAATGAAGTTTATTGATAGAAATAGTGTATACTGTTTAGTTTGCTAATTTACGTCAATTGAATTCAGTAGCCTTGTATAGAAGAGATATTTAAATTATACTGAAGATTTTATAGAAAACTTTGCGTTTTTAATCAAATATTGTCTGTGACCATGATAATTATGATGCATTGTTGCAATTATTTTATAAATGAAAATAAAACGATATTTGAAAATAAAAGCAACATCCCAAACAAATCGAGTTAAAGATGCACCATAAACAATTCCCACCAGATGAACGGATTTCGTGTTTCTTAAAAACTTTGAATCATACCTGAAATACGGAATTCTTTGAATTTAGATTTGTGAAGTAAAAAGACCACGACAAGTTTCATTTCACTATTTATATGTGAGCATTTACCTTATTTTGTTCAAAAACTGGTCTAAAGCTGTGAAAAATCTTGAGGTTTCTTGAGGCTAAGATTTCCAGTTACTGTTGTTGTTGCTGTTATCCAAACAGATCACTCCTTGCAAGGCAAACCAAGGTAATGAAAATGCTTTAAAAGTCTTGTTTTACATTTGGTAATGAAATCAGAGTTTCTTTTTCTACGTTATTTTGTCGATTTAAATGGTGTCCGTTCAAGACACTAAATTACTGATCGCGGAAACGCCCTCTTCTTCTCCGGTGGGACCTTGTACAATTGTAGGCCAAAGTTTTCATTGTGGAGTGTAAGTATCACAGTATGGCAAGTGCACACCCGAGGTATGTCTCTTGGTGTGCACCAGGGCCTGTTTTAGTGTTATTTTAGTGTGCAGTATTACACACTTTGTGCAGTATTAATTTAAAAACATGCAGTATTGTTTTCCAAAATGTGCAGTATTGAATTTTGGGATTTGTGAAAATGTCTTTTTGCGGCTATCCCAGATTCCTGCTTTGTTCACAAAATGTGAATTTTCCTCGTCAGTTCGATATAGAGTTCATGTATTGTAATTCTCGTATAACCATCGGAAAGACTCTTTTATCAAAACTTAAAACAAAGCGAAATGCCCAGAAACAAAAACAAAACATCTACTTGTAAATGTCAGAATTGCTGTAAATTTCGTAATTTGATCTTGTCGAAAATAAAACATTCAGTAATAATTTATCAGTTGCCCTAACATGCTCTGGGCATCTAGCAGAAGCTCACTTAACTTAACTAAAAGGAAAGATAAAGAGCCTAATAAAACTTTTTTGTTGTACTGTCCAGACAAAACATGAGATAGTAACTCCGTTTACAAGAGTTTGTTTCTATTCAGGTTTTGTAGCTACTTTTTGTTGTGTTGCTGTTTTGAAATGTCATTGTTGATTGTGTATATTATCGTCTGTCTGTTTGTGATTTCTGCGTCATGGTGTATACACATGTTCAAAATTTGGGCCATTTCCTCGCTACACTTGCATGGCCAAGATACCTGGGGTATGCATGGGTTTGCACTGATTGCAGGAAAATTTCTTAAAATAGGCCCTGGTGTGCACTTGCATGTCTCTGCACATCTGGTGATGGGTATAGAATTTTGAAATCTGTGGTTCTAACATAGTTGGGTGTACTATTGTTGACAATTGAAGTGCACTTGAACACTTGAAGTTTTGCTCTGGCATACCCGACTTTTCATTGGAATCTGCCAAACAAGATGGCATGTTGCTGGTTCGAGCTTTTCATACTTTCTATGAGTGTTTTACATGGGCTGCATCAAAGCAACCCATCAATTCTGAATGAGAAAAATAATAATTTCAGTTTGAAATAAGCTTTTTGCACGAAATTTTGCCATTGAATGCCTTGCATTTTCCATTACAATGTTTTTGTATCATATTTTACTGGCAACTCTAAGCCATTTTCCACTTTAAAAGGATACTAAAATATCAAAGAAATCAAAGAAGTTCCTCTCTTGCCATTTTTTATAGAAATATATATTGTCAGTGGTGGACACTTGGGGGGGGGGGGTTGACCGCCCCCCAAATACTTTAGAGGACAATGGTCTTTTGTTCTAAAACAATGGGGAATGTGACATCATCTTATTAAAACAATAGGCTTGCTCCCCCAATATTTGATCAAGTGCTCGCCTCTGATTGTTGTTATTTATTCTTTGATTAACTAATAAAATTGGATGAATCCAAATTACCAGGCTCGTATGACATCCCAATAAAATTGGTTAAATACCTCAATGAATCGATATCTGGCGTTCTTGCAGATTTGATTAATAAAACTTTCAGTCTTGTCAAAAATAATTCAAAGCACGTAAAAATTCAAATCTTAATATTTTTCATGGACAAGTGTTTTACACTTTATAAACCAAATTATTTCTATTTGTAATCAACCCATTAAGGGCACTGGGCACACATTGGGTTTACCTCAGTGTCCTTGGCAACATTTATTTAACTATCCTAGCATTGTTGTGTAATTTTTTGCATATCTGTTATAATCTTAGCAATTGTATACCTTTAAAGCTTGTATGGTTGCTGCTGCATGAATTTGATTTTGATTTGATTTGACATTGTTGTGTCTTGTTTGTTATAGGGAAGTTTTGTAAAATGTCTGGAATTAGTGCTGAAGCCCAATCTGTGTTGGATTTCTGGTTTGAACCTGGCAAGGAGTTGAAAGATAATTTTGCTCTGTGGTTTGGAGGGAAATCCCAAGATGAGATTATAAAGAGCAAGTTTAGTGATCTGGTAAGTTTTCACTTCTAAACCATAATGTTTTTTGCAATCAGAAGCAAATACATGATCATACATACTCAATGAGCAGATGATTTATTAAAGCTGCCCTTGCAAATATATGCCTCTTTCCAGGACAAAACGTAAGTAGGAAGACAATTAACAGGGCATGAAGTAACAAACATGTGCATGTTATCAAAAACACAGGAAACCATGTTATATACTGTAGTTTTAATCCAAAAATTTAATTAACCAGGGGTGACATAAATTGCAAATATGTTGGGTGGATCAGTGGCTTTCCCAGAAATGTTTTAGAGGGTACGCTCTCTTAAGTGCTTGAAGGGCCTTTTTATAACTATTGCAAAAATAATGATGAAACAGGGTCAATGATCAAAGTATCATTTATATAATTATACTCAAAACATCATTTACTAGATACAATTTGGAAAGGATGGTAGTTAAATAAAGACTAGCATATTTTTTAATTGATGGATCAGGAAAAAGAACCTTTCTAACATATTGTTATTCTGTTGTCCGTTTCAAAGAATGCAACCTATTTTGCTGATTCATTCATCATTCACTTTGCTTGATTTTATTAGCATTGACCAGTGATGCCAGCTGATGTGAATATATTTGAAAAATATAATTATTGCTTTACTGTAAACATATTTGGTTGTTACCTACTGCCCTTCTAAAATCAGCCTAAATGCAACAATTTGATTTCATGCCCTTTTCAGCCAGTTGGCAGAACAAATAATGCACTTAAAACCAAGGAATAATGCACTTATTATTCCCATTTTTTATGAGTTATCTTGACACATAGTTTGCAGTTTCAAGGTCCAAGATTTTTTTACTAGCGAAAGCTTCTTGGTCATTAGGAAGCACAAGCTATGATAATTTCACTCTGCTTTGTTTTCTTTTATACAATATAACAATTTGTATTGAAAAAGCTCATTTGTTGTGAGCCTTCATTTGAAATTGAAGACTTTTAGATCCATGTTTGCAAAAAAACATGAAAACAGCAGTAAAACAGCTTCTTACAAAAGTTGAAAAGTGTTGGCCTACAGGAAACCCAACTTCCTTTTGGCCACAGGCCAGGTTTTGAAGTAAGTGAAGGAAATATTGGCATATAATTGGTACCATAAAAATCTATTCAGGTTTTTCTCCATTGAAGCTAACATTTTAAGTCAATGAATTCGTTATCTCACAAATGTTTAAATTTTCATAAGAAATAGAATTTTGATTGATTTAGTGTAATTTGGTAATAGTGCACAATCAGGTCAATCTTATCCAGAAATAATTTTTTTTTCAAATATCATATTTTTAGTCAGAATGAAGGCCTGATTAAAAACACAGAATTTTCTGTTCAATCCACTGTATGTTTAAGATATATTTACATACAATACTACTGGATTTGATTAATGAAAACTGGTTAAACTTTAAATTTACATTTTATTCTACTAGCATTATTTTCAATTTAATGATAGAAGGTCAAAAGTATAGGAAATATCGGTTTTTCTCCTTTCTCTTCTGCCACAAAAATCTAGCAGCTTAACCCCTTTTGGTGCAACTAGATCTCACTTTGCCTTGCAAAGTATGTCGAGATTTGTAAGACCTATTCACAAACTTTTCTGTTAATTTCAACCATGGCTCATGGGCAGCTATTTTCTGGGGTAAGTGGCAATTTTCAAAAGTAAATCGAACTTTCTTAGGACAATGATATTCCTGGGGTGTTGTGTCAGACTCAATTTCAGATCTGCCTCGTTTACGATTGATTGAAGGATTGTTAACTGGTTTAGAGACAGTTAAATTTGCTAATTGATTGTGACAATAGTTGTCAGTTGTTAGTTTATTGTCCTTTCTCGAGGTATATCGTTTTGTGAATTGTTCCTGCATTTCGTTGATCTGGTCAGGTTGTTTGCTTGAACCAGTTCTTCTCCTTCCATAAGTTTCCAGAAGTTTTGCCTCAAGCTTTCTCAGTTTGGCGTGGTTTTCTTCCTTTGCTTTCACACTGCATTCTGGGAGCAAGCGTCGTATTTCGTTGGTTGCAATGCCAATATGCTTCTTATATTGCCTCATTTCATAATCTGAGAACTTGTTGAAGAGAATCATGTTATCTTGGCAGCCACCTTTATCTTGCTGTTCCTAAGGAAAAGTATCCACATTTTAATAGATTTTACTTAGAATTTTGGAAGATATCGCTATTTATTACCGACTGTTAATGATTTTGTTACGTAAGTCCTTTTAGAATTTCAATAAATTTCATCTTTTCCATGCATTTCTCACTTTTCAAACGTTAAATCTATATTAAATGGTAGTGAGAAATACTTCCATTGAAATGCTCAGGTCTTTTCTTACTGGTTTTTCCTTCCCAAAAATGGGCCGCAAGTTTATTTCATATATGTAATTAATCGCATCATTTACCAAGGCATATAAACACTCGTATCAAATTTGCGAATTTTGTATGTCAGTCGTATTATATTTTGCCTATTTTTAGCAAACAAGTAACTAAATCCTACTTTTACTTCAACTTACCAAAATTTCAAGTCCGTTGAAAAATTTGCCCCACATCCAAACCATCTTTTTCATGACATTTGCAATGTGTTTAAGCCATGGTTTTATTGCCTTTCCTTTCAGCTGTTAAGGAAAAATACCCATTACTTACAATACGCCAGCAAACATTAGGCCTTCTTTATCAATAGGAATATTTATTTCAAGCGGTTTTCTGTTGTATTGTATACAAATTGAAAATGTATAATATACAATCGATTTCAGAATCCATAGTCGAAAAATCGAGATTAAATACGATTAACCTACCTGTTTGTATATATTATGTGCGTTCTCATTTACTTCTCCTGCCAGTTGTTTTATCTGCAAAAAGAAAAGAAAATAATGTAAAACAAAAATGTAAAAATAGAATAAATTGCAAAGATACATTTTGCATTAAATTTTGCAATTAAATTAAATTTATTAACTTATCTTTTCTTTTTTAGTTTTATTAACATAATCTCGATAACATCTATTTTTTCAAGTTTGGCAATTTTGCTATTCATGGTATTTTTTAGTGCTTAATTTATATATGATTGGAACTCACCATGCGAAAACAGAAATTTCTGTAGTTCAGTTGGAGCAAGTTGGCATTGATACGTTGATGATGTGTTGGATGGTTGATGTTGGTTAGCTTGTCAACATTCAACAGAAGATCATCTGCAAATGATAAAAGCATTACATTTATTAAAAGATTTTATCACGAAATTCCATGTAATTGGTTTGGATTTCGATAGTACAATTGAAAAACGGTTTTTGATCACTCAAAAATTATGAAATCATCTTGTCATCCAACCTACCGACCTTTCAAATAAAGAGTCTCCTTATTTAATTTTCTGAATTCTAATGTTCACACGGCAAGAAAGATATTTACGGTAATGGTAATGCCACTATTTAGTAATGGTTAAGTCAGCAGTCAGACTTTTTAGCAGGTCCATATTTTAGTTGTAAGCCTCTTACCAATTCTTTGGAAAAGCTTTTCGCATTCTGCAGCTATTTCTTTCCTTTGACCTTCAATCAGGCCATGTCGGAACTGTAAATAAAATAGAGGATCAGAATCTGACTTGGAACATTTTCTGAAACATTTTAATAGAAAACGACAGACATTGTTAGGCAGCCTTTCCACTAGCCTGGGTTAAAACACATCCGGGTTAAAAGTTATCCGTTTTTAAAGTGAGTCAATGGAAACGGCATTTTTCTTCGACCCGTTTTTAATCCGTTTTTGATCGTTCCCACTAAGCCGGGTTAAAATGTATTCGGGGTGAAAAGTTGTAAGAGAAATCAGTATTTGCATCAATAATCCTTCAATTTCTACCGTTGTAGGCCAATGAAAGCAACATTGACATCCAGGATTTTTATTTTTTTCATTTTTGGCTTTTTATTTTATCTCAATTTTTAAACGTTGCTGTTGTTGCAAGTGGGTCAGAAGTTATCCGGGTTTCGGCGTTTCCATTAACTCGCAGGTGGATCAAAAGATACCCGGGTAAAAACTGACCCACTTTGAGACCCGTTTTCAAACTTATCCGTTTTTCAAGTGGGTTAGTGGGAACGCGACGCAGAAACGGATAACTTTTAACCCGAATATGTTTCAAGCTAAGCTAGTGGAAAGGCTGCCTCTTGATTGTGTCTTGATACTTTTTTGTTGGCTTTCACCAGTCATTGGTGCCATTGTGTAATATCATTTTGTTTTATCACCGGCTTTCTTTAGTCATTGGTGCTATTACGCAGTATGATACGTCCATGTTTCATAGGTCATATTGCAAAATCTTAATCTCGTCGCTTATCTTGATACCTTTACGCAATGTTATTATAATTGTTATCTTTTATCTTAACCTCCCAGTAATTGGTCTTGTATGATTTCAAATCGAGTGTCCATTTTCTTTCAATTATTCATTATCTTCCAGCGAATATGTCTGGAAATTGTTCATATATTGATTTGAAATCATTATTGTAATAGATTTTATAGGGAGGCTGGAACCAAGTCCCATCCTTAGTAACTGTGGCTAGCAACATTAAGTCATCACGTGACATATTTTATGTTTTCTTAGGCCCGTGGAGATTTAAAGCCTAAGCATCGCTTTTTTGGCAACTCTTACTTTTATCAACATTTCGGAAGCAAACTGTCTCTCATTTCTTAGATAATTTTTACCCCTAAGTTTTTTGAATATTTGTAGATGATTTATATCTTTAAATATGTTGGCATACTCTGGCTAAAGACTCTTACCTAAACTTCAATCAAGGGCTTCAAAAAGACTTTTGACGAATTTTTAGTCGAAGTTTTTAAAAAAATGGGAATTCGCAACTCAATGATAGTTTCGCTAACTGTTGGTACCTGATGGAAGACTTTTCCTGTTAAATGTTGTCTTGTTTAATCGTTAAATGTTGCAAAGTCGGGCTTAAAACCCTGTCAAGGATATTTAACAATAGATCGATCGAACAAACCTGTGAAAGAACGATCGATACCAACGGAATTTGATTCGACATTCTCCTCCGCAGCGTATACCTTCGTTTTCAGTATCTTTGTTGTCAATAAAGATTCGCTTTGAGAAATCTTTTGTTGTCATGAGCGAGTCGTAAGGTTTGAGCTCCTTGATTAAAATCAAATCGCAACAGAAATGGCAGTTGATGAACTGTGGCTTTTATACTGTTGCGGATGTTCAATTTGACGTAATAAACGTTTCTAGGGGTTTGTTTACATCGTTGTTACGGCATATAAAAAATGGTAGGGATGTCTCGAACCTGAATTTTCTTCGTATTTTTCATAAGGATTCAAAGGCTTTAATAAGTCCTATCAATTTGTTCGTACCATCCAAGCAAAATTTCCAAATTCATCCCCCTTTATCAATCATGCACATTTTGACGTTACTTTGATAAAATAATATAACGCCATAAAAACAAAGAATAATGGCGTTAGATTTGATAATATTTTGCAACAATAAGTTTCCCGTTGTGCTCAATCTTTTTCTTTCGAAATTAATGTACATAAACATATCTTAAAATTAGTTATAAGATCAAAAATTTCTCTCAATTTTTTAATTTGAAGAAAGAACAGGCTATTGCCATGTTAACAGTTAATAGCTAAATTGCATAAATTTAAAATTTCTCGAAAAGTTTCCTAGCAAATTAAATTTTTTTGACTGAAATTTCATAATAAAGAAAGTTGATACAAATTTGTTATACCAAACTATTTCAATCAGACAATGCCAAAAAGGAACATTACAATGTCTATAAATTTAGGCTATTTTGACTCGACCCGGATTATTTAAGTGTAGAAAACTTGGCAAATGTTTTTTATCATGTTAGCATTAGTTTTTTGTTCTTATTCTGCTTGATAATTTGTATTTTTATGAATTTTTTTTGTTTTCACTAGTTATTCACAATTTAATTTTTTTACATCACGTTATAGATATATCTAAAGGATTTTAGCTTGTTATTTTGAAGTTATTTCCATAAACGATCTTTTGTTTTCGCACACTTGACAGATTTTTTTAAAGATGTATTGTTGAAGATATTTCACACACTGCAAAAGTTGCATTCTTTTATCGGCCGAGAATTGCTGCATTTTCTCGATCACTGCTATCATATTTTTGTAAGCAGGAATTTCCTAGCGCTTCTCATAACTTGTTCTTTTATTTTTGAAAACACTCTTTTTGATTTTAAAATTTTTACGGTTGAATTCTTTCCACTTTTCCCATTTTTCCATCTTGAGAAATTCTATAGAAACATCGGTCGATCTTATTTAATGGAGTTCAAAGTAGCCTCTCAGAATTCATTCGATAGAAACCTTTTAATTTTGCAAGATGTTTTAATACTTTTGTAACACGAAGGTAGAAATGTTTCCTAGGTCAATATCTATTATATTTTTGAAAGACATTTTATGAGAACTTTTAAGAACAAAAAAGATTTCCTTTTTGATCAGAGTGTCGTTCTTCAGAAGTAGAACACGAAATATATCTTATTTTTCAAAAACCCATTTTGGCCTTTATCGTAAACTAAATAAGAAAGAATAATATTTGTAATATAAAAATAGGTTGACAAAATTAAGATAAGGAATGGGTTTTCTTAATAATTATTTTCAACTCTTTGAACTAAATTCAACAGCGAAAAAGATATCCCTCCTTTCCGATGCTCTCTTTCAAGTCAATAAACAACCTATTGAATGGATTTCCTTTTCATTTTCGTATTTCCAAATTTTCTATTATTGTCATTTATTATTGTTGCTTTTATTCCAAATTATTTGTTTTCAGTACAATCAATATCGTGGTTAGGAGGCAAATCTTTTTTGCTGTTTTTCAGTCGAATATAAATCATTACCCTTATTCATCGGAAATTGTTTTCGTGTCATGTTTTTTCCTTTAACCCTTTTTTTTAATCTTAGACTTTAATACAAGAAGCACCTAATTTAAAGGGCCTTTATATAAAAACTTTAATTTTTAAAACAAATATGATTTTTTTGAAGAAGCATAAAAAAGACAAAGGTCCCGGCCTACGGTATCATATTGCAGTTGCATAGACAGGTTGTCATGTCTTATGTTAGTACAGCGTTATTTAATAAGTCTAGTCCTGTTCTTTTCTGCAAACATTATTATCCGAAAGAACCCTTAGACAATGTTTAGATCCAAGGACCGTGGTTTAAAAACTAGGCTCTTGGGTAGGTCATTAAATAAAAACCGAGTTCTTGGTTAGGAAATTAAAACCGAGATTGTTAAAGCTTGCGAGAGGGTTAGGCCACTGAATACCTTAGTTCGTGGACACTTGCAAGATCTGATAATGTCGAAGAGCTTTTGTCTACTTGCAATCATCTTTGGTGCATCGTTTATTTCTTATGAATATCATTTCTATTTTTGAAGCAAATTAAGATTTGTGCAGTCAGTTATCATTGCCTGTTCCATCACAGAAAACACTTGATAAAAATGCCACATTTTCTAGCACATACACAGTATATTCAATACATTTCTTATATACAAGATAAACGTATTCAATTCTAATGAATTGGAAAACTACATATATTTATTGTATTCTACCAGCAATATTTTTATTAAAAGGTCTGGCAAATATGAAGTATTTTTTATCTGCATCTTTTATGTATCTCAAAGATTTTGCAGTTTAACCCCTTTTATTGCAGCCAGACTGTGACCTACCATGGGAAATAGATCGAGTTTTACGAGACCTATTTACAAACTTTTCTGTTAATTTCAACCATGGCTCATGGGCAGCTATTTTCTGGGGTAGGCGGCAATTTTCAAAAGTAAATCGAACTTTCTTAGGACAATGATATTCTTGGGGTGTAGTGTCAGACTCAATTTCAGATCTGCTTCGTTTACGATTGATTGAAGGATTGTTAAATGGTTTAGAGACAGTTAAATCTGCTAATTGATTGTGACAATAGTTGTCAGTTGTTAGTTTATTGTCCTTTCTCGAGGTATATCGTTTTGTGACATGTTCCTGCATTTCGTTGATCTGGTCAGGTTGTTTGCTTGAACCAGTTCTTCTCCTTCCATAAGTTTCCAGAAGTTTTGCCTCGAGCTTTCTCAGTTTGGCGTGGTCTTCTTCCTTTTCTTTCAAACTGCATTCTGGGAGCAAGCGTCGTATTTCTTTGGTTGCAATGCCAATATGCTTCTTATATTGCCTCATTTCATAATCTGAGAACTTGTTGAAGAGAATCATGTTATCTTGGCAGCCATCTGTATCTTGCTGCTCCTAAGGTAGATAATCAACCGTTTAGGAGAATATCTTAAAATTTTGGTAGATTTTAATATCGATTATCGAAAATATTTTTATTTTTGTTGAAGATTTTTACAATTCTTGTCAAAGTTTCGTTTTTTGATGAGATCCGTTCAAGGTCCCTACTACGGAAAGTATTTTTTTAAAGAAATGAGAAATATTGCCGCCTTAGTTTTAAGGTTCAAAAATATCATTTAGCTTCTTTCTTGGTGTGAAATTTTTTGCACATTCTCTAGATAAAAAATTTGGCCTTGCTTGTAATTAGTCCTCTTGGGCGATGGCATAATAATATCCAGACATATTTAGACACCCATATCATGACATCTCTATTTTTTCCAAAGGAAATCAAATTCCTTAATTATATTTAAACTTACCAAAATTTCAAGTCCGTTGAAATATTTGTTCCACATCCAAACCATCTTTTTCATGACATTTGCAATGTGTTTAAGCCATGGTTTTATTGCCTTCCCTTTCAACTGTTGATAAAAAATACCATTATTAGTTTAATGCTAATTAACCTAATATGGCTTGTTTATTATATAGGAGTATTTTTCTTATGCTTTTTATATGCTTCATTGCTTATATCTGTTGTTTTGGGTTTAAGCAAAATTCTCTCAATTTGTGATTCAACAATAAAAAGCCGAGATTGAATGCGAATAACCTACCTGTTTGTGTATCATATGTGCTTTCTTGTTCACTTCATTTGCTAGTTGTTTTATCTGTTGATATAAGATAAATGCGTTTACTTGTAATTGTATAAGGCTACATTTACGTTCCAAGCTTGGCTAGTAACATTTGCAGAATTTTCTTTTCTTGGTTCTGTAAGTACACATCAGTGATGTAGCAAGTTTATTTTTGAATTATAACTACAGCATTATGTCTTTTCCAGTAACTGAGTCCCACGCACTACGTACTTTTTTGTGGAAAAGTGCAGAAAACCTCTTTCTCGATTTACACCACTATCATTTGAACTTTTTCTTTGTTTATATTTTCCTTTATATAAGTATTTGACATTGATATAAATGTATTTTCATATAAGAATGCTTGCTATCAATGACCCGCTTTTGATAAAACATCCCATCACGCTAGCAATCTAATTTCACATTAAACGTAATTGGTAGCCATTTTATAGATATCTATTCAAAAGTTATAATTTACAATCAATAATTGGCAATTTTTCTGTCCATAACAATTTTATTCAAAGCCCTTTTAGCTATTTATTCTCTTAATCTTAAATACTCACCATGCGAAAACAGAAATTTCTGTAGTTCAGTTGGAGCAAGTTTGCATTGATAGGTTGATGATGTGTTGGATGGTCGATGTTGGTTAGCTTGTCAACATTCAACAGAAGATCATCTGCAAATGATAGAAAGACTTCATTTATTCAAAGATTTCATTACAATACGCCATGTAGTTGGTTAGGATTTTCAGAGAGAGTTTTTCCTGTAGCAAGAATGAAAAACAATTTTTAAATAATTTCGAAGTACACATATCTTCAAACGATTCTACTTCTTGAAATGGTAATCAAATTATGTAAGCCCTTTGATGTTAGTAACACAAATTAAAACTTTAATATGTACGTCGACACTCCATTTAAATGTCTCTTACCAATTCTTTTGAACAGCTTTTCGCATTCTGCAGCTATTTCTTTTCTTTGACCTTTAATCTGATCACGTCGGAACTGTAAATGAAATAATGGAATTGAATCTAACATAAAGCATTTTAAGTTGCAATTTTACCAATTCAGTGAAAACTTCAGACTTTAAAAGTTCGAGAGACTATCACAGCCTCTTTTTTGCTATTTCTGATACTTATCGTTGGTCTTCTTCTATCTTATCTTGTTTTCATAAAGAAATATAATATGACCATATTTCATTGATATACTTGCTGCGAATAAGTCAGGGGAGGGTTCATAATTTAGTTTGACATTGTTATGTTAACATCTTTCATAGAGGCTGGGACCGAGTCCCATCCTTGGTAACTGTGGGTAGCAACATTAAGTCATCACGTGACTTATTTTAGATTTTCCTAGGCCCGTTGAGATTCGACGACCGAGCGACAATTATGTCGTAACACTGAATGTAATTTAATTTTCGAGAAACATTTCAGCTATAATTTGTTCGAATATTTTTGAAATATTTTTGATGATTTATTTGTTTCAAGAGTAATGTAATTTATTGCTAAAATGTCTCGCCTAAGTTTGAGTTCACCGCTCAACTCGAAAGGTCACTTAAAACGAGCTTTTATTGATAGTTTTGAAACGAATTGGTAATTCACAACTCAATGATCATTTTGCTAACCTGGGAGACTTTGTTCTCATTGGAAACTTTCCTGTTAAATGTTGTCTCCTTTAATCGTTTAAAATTTCAAAGTCGGACTTAAAGCCTTGACAAGGATACTTAACAATCGATCGATCGAACAAACCTGTGAAAGAACGATCGATACCAACGGAATTTGATTCGACATTCTCCTCCGCAGCATACACCTTCGTTTTCAGTATCTTTGTTGTGAATAAAGATTCGCTTTGAGAAATCTTTTGTTGTCACGAGCGAGTCGTAAGGTTTGAGCTCCTTGATTAAAATCAAATCGCAACAGAAATGGCAGTTGATGAACGGCGGTATTTATACTGTTGCGGATGTCCAATTTGACGTAAGAAACGTTTCTAGGGGTTTGTTTACATCGTTGTTACGGCAGATTGAAGTGGCAAAAATATGTCAAAATCTTGTAATCTTTCACAATAATCCAATTCAATTTATCTGTTAATATTTATATTCATTTTGAAATTTCTTGTGAAACCTCTATTTAATACTTTCTAAACCGTGGTTTTATGTCTTTTCCAGATAGAAAAGGCGCGTACTGGACAGTTGAAATCTTGGGAAGAAGATCCAAAAAGTGCTTTGGCTCATATCATTCTCATCGACCAGTTTTGCCGAAATGTTCACCGGGTAAAGTTCATTTTGCCGGAATTGAATTAGACAGGAAACAATATTACCTGAAATTTCTATACTAACAGAAATGTTTGGCAAAATATTTCCGTGTGAGGAACATCTTTTTGAGTGGGAGATTTTTATTGCGCTCACCTTTAGCCAAAAATAAAAATTTATTCTATCTTAAATTCAAATTTTATAGCTCTTTCCCACTGAAAATCATACTACAATTTAGAAATGCTGCAAGAGGGCAATACCAACATATCTAGAATAAGATCATTATTTTCATTATTTGCTTTCTTGATTTAAAGTTTGTACAATCTCTGGCTACTAAACTAAAGATGACTTAAACCCTACTAATTTAAATTACCATCGCTAAATTCAATATATGATCAAATTTAATTGATATTTCGGTATTCCTTGCAAATGCATTCAATACAGTTGAACGATGAAAAGTCTGAATTTTTTTTTAAAATTAGTCCGATTGGGGAGTATTCTATTTTGTTTGGAACTAAGTTCCATATTTGGCTACATCTATATGACACCGAAATATATCCATGTATTTTGTATTGTGGCTCCGCTGTTTTGAATATTGAGTTTCTTAAGTTGAAGCCCCCCTCAACTCCTGAAATTTTAAGAAGGTCTTTTATGGCACCGGCTGTATTGAATCGTTTTTCAAATTTTCTGTCCTTTTAGCTCGCAGAAGAACTTTTTATGTGATGGGAGGAACTCCTTTCTTGCTTACTTACTCAGCATCAGTTTGTTATGATTCATTGATTATTTTTGCTATAGTTCACAACAGTCTTTTGCCATAGGGAACCCCAAAGTCCTTTGACTGCGACCATGTTTCTCTGGGCATTGCAAAGAAGGTAATACAATTAATACGATCGGCAGTAGTAATTGTGAAAATGGTTTTTGAATCACACTAAACGAAGAAGTATTTTTTGAATGTTTGCTTTTTTCAAAACCATTTGTAATGCATTTGTATTTTTTGCATTTGTTATCAGAACTGTGTGATATCTACTTGGAGTATCAATGCAAACAAAAATTAATTGACCATTATACAATAAAGCAGATATTGCTTAGAGGATCCAATTGGTGGGGAATGTTTTAAACATTTATAGTGAAGTTGTGTTTTTTCTTTCACACTTATGAATTTTTATGCCGCTTAGCAAAATACAGTATTTAAGTATTATATCCTCAAAACTGAGAACAAGGATACTTTGACAAGGTGTGTTTTTGACTGCTAAATATGGTCTCGAAATTTGCATCAACTTTCGAAAAAATATTTAACCTTTAAATTTGTTCTCTAAAGCTTCTCAAGTTTTCGTTTGGTTCATATTTTGCCTCCTTTTCCCTACGTTTTCATCCTGTGTTGTAGCTAGTTGAAAATGGCCGATACAAGGAGCTAAACCCAATGGAAAGGTTCTTCTCGAATCTTCCTTTTGAACACAGTGAAAACATGGATGACCAGGTACATTTTCTATCTATTTGAATTCATATGTAACAATTTTTTCCTTGTGAAATGAATCTTATATCTGATCTAATATCTTCTACGGTAAGTTTTATTCTGGTAAATTTGTTTTCCTTGACACTTTTTAGAAACCCTTTCTCTGTAGGTAATCTGACATATTGAAATTTAGTGGAAGCTTTGATTTTCAAGGTAATGTGGTGCATGAAGAAAACGGTAAAGCAATGTCATTAATGAAACACATGAAATGCCAATTCATTTTGTACACTTTCTACGACCTGATACCATGATTTACGTTTATAATCTCACCAGTGTTCAGGATTTTGAATTTGTTTGAAGATTCTGTGCGCAATCTTTGTCCAACCACAATTTTCAAATCTATATAATGTGGCAGTACGCATACAATAAGTGGCGTAGTTTTACCTTACATACGTACTAGATGTGAAAGATCATTAAAAGTAAAATATACCGACGAAAACATTGATTAAGATTACCGAAGTTCATACTGCCTCACCTACGCCTTCTGCATTTGACCATCAAGTTGTAGTTTGACAATTCCCTAACTGTATTGTTTGATTGATTGGCAGGATACTGCACTCAAACTTTACAAGGAGCTAGCTGCAGATACCAAAGGAACCAAGTATGAGGGTTTGGGTACAAGTGGGGTTTCATATTCGCAGAAGCACCGGGTGAGAAAGTTTTGACTTTATTTTGAAATAATTCCTCATTATAGAAGCGTGATAAAAAATACTCAAGAAGATATAGTCATGTCTATGCAATATGGGTGATATGTTTTTCACGATAAAAGTCGAATTCTTTCAAAGCTCTAATTATTTAATTATGAGTACAAATAATAGAAAATTGTAAATTTGTATGTTGACCGTTGTAGAAGGGGATATAATGTTATCTCTTTGCTGAGTGCCCAGAAATAAGCATTCTTCTGGCGATCTTTCAAACATCTTTATAATTAGCAGCTTTGGGTGGGACTTGCACAAGCCAAATACTTGAAACCTCGTTTGCATAGAGGTCAAGGTTAATTTGAGGCATAGACTTAAAGGAGTTTTCAAACCCTATTTGCTAAAAAAAGACAATTTGAATTTAGTGCCACAATTCTAGATAAAATGAATAAATTGTATCTTAGGTTATCAAGCGCACTTCCAATTTTTAACCATTTAACTTTCATAATTCCTATAAAAGTGTTTTGTGTTAAGGTTTCGAGGAACAATTAGTCGCACTATTTTCATCTACTATAACATTGTTTTCATTGGATAGGTTTTTCAAAGAAAAAGATATTTTGCAGCCATGGCTGACCCTAGAATCAGTCTTAAACTGTGCCAGAGATTCTAGAAATCTATTATTCGTTTTAATGCTTCAAAATCTGCCCATTCATGAAATTTCTGAAGAATCCGCCATGTTTTTAAGTTGAGTTCTGTGGCTTTTTTAGGAGGTGGTCGAGAAGTTTGGCCGTTTTCCGAAGAGAAATGCTGTCCTTGGAAGAACCAACACACCTGAAGAGGAGGAAATTTTGAAGAATTATCCTTACAATTTCTAGAGATTGAGCTGCTGGCAGATGACAATTTTGAATGGAAAACACGCTTTATGCATATCTAATACACACATGAACACCATATACACACTGTTTCCTTAAGCATAATGACACTGCACAAATATCCAGACGCACTTGCTGTTTTTAACTACAGATGCTGGACACAATTTTTATTCCATCCAACAAGGCAGCACTTATCAGAGGGTTAGAGTAGATACGTAGCATGCATTGATAGTTGAACTTGCTCAACGTTTTACTGTAACGGGAGAAAATCTACCCTCAAAAATTAACACTGTATTTTAGCATGATTTTATATTTTACCAAAATGGAATCCTATGTTTTTAATCAATTTTATTAATTTTATGCATGGCTAAAAATGGAAAGCTCGTATTTCACTCGTTTACACTTTGTGCACCTTGATCAGCTCAGCTTTGCCAACATGCAACTGATTTGTTAAAGTTTCTTGACACAGATCGTATGATATCTTTCAATGAGACGAAGTGCCTTTGCCCATGTGAAGTTATAGCAGTTTATTGCCTTAAAAACTTTCTAATATAAACTTTTTAAGGAACTTTATGATGGAAAAATGTTGCTTATTTATGATATAGTGAAATTGTAGGGGTTGGGTGGCAATGCCTTGAAAATTATCTATGGTTGCGTCATTTCAAACTCTGAAAACGTTTGCTGCATGATTTAAAAAATTTACGACAAGATTGCATTGCAAATAATTTAAGCTTATAAAGGGCATTTTGGAAAGTTGGATTTGGATGGTAGCTTTCATCAAATTGGAGCCCTCTTTCTTTATGCGATCAGTTTCTTTCCAGTCGAGGATGTGATTCTTTTCTTTATTTAGTTCTCTCCACTCTCGTCCCCTGTGTCCGTGCTTACTTCCAGATCGGTAGAGAGGTGGTCTCCATGGAAACTGCTGACATCAGTTTCAGAGTAGGCCATTAGTTGTTCTGGCTTCGGGGCTTTCATTCAAGAATATTTACTGCCCAGTCTAAGTGATAAAAATGCCGTCAATTGTCGAGAAAAAAGAAAACGAAGAAGTTAAATATCCGAGGTATGCCCTAGGTCTAAATACTTAGTTCAATAAAGATTTTTGTAAGGAATGTCGTGTCGGAGAACTGGAGGCAGTTTTATTTTAAAGTTTTAGGTACACAGGAAGGAGACTCTGCCTCCATCCAAAAACATTTGTAGTGAACATGAAATATTGTTTCTTGCAAAAGTTTTTGAGGTAGTCTGAGTGCGTCATAAGTGGAAATTTGACCTACAGGTTTACGTGCATAATATGTGTGATAAATGAAATGAAATTGTACCATAAACAAATATAATAGGTCAAAGTCTGGAGCTATTACTGTTCAAAATTGACGTCAATTTTGAACAGTAATACATAGCTCCAGACTACTGTATGTCAAATTATGTAGAACAGTAATACTTTATTTCAAATTTTCACTTATGATGCACTCATTGGTATAAGATGCCATAGTCCAAATATAGAGACCAAAGTAGAGACCAAAAATAGGACTTGATACGCCTGCATTCATTGTTTTGTCGAATGTTGGAAAGATGATGAAGGGTGGGGGCTAAAACAGAATTAAAAGTAGCCTGACTGGTTGTATTATTCTTAATTCTCTACGTTTTTGGCAAAAGTAGGTGGCTATAGCCCAAGAACCCCTTGCACTGTGGTGTCTGATAATTTTGCCTTTTTAACAAACAAGTTTTGTGTTAGAGGGTAATTTAAATTTGAAAAACTAGTGCTGAACTGCTATCACTATGTTTGCATTACTCATTTTTATTAGTAATTAGAAGCAAACATCATACTTGATGATCAGTTCAAATGTAAACAGATGAACTTTGTATTCACACTTTCTGTCTGCAACTGATGAGATTCCAACAATTATTTTGTTAATCCACCTTTGAAGAGCTTCTGGTGCTGGTTCACCCAAGCTCTCCTTAAAAATATTTTAACATGAGCTATGCTTTAATCTTCACCTAAAAACCACCATCCACTCTTAGTAATTATTTGCTTGAATCATTATAGAATCACACCAAAACTCATCAAGCAACTGTGCAAAGAACAAAAGCTTTACACAACTCCACATCTCAATGATGTTTTATATTTACATTATAAAGGTAGAGTATCAATATTTTTAAAGCATATCAAATTCAGCTTAAATGACGTGTGAATGAAACTAAGCTCTTGTGATGCATGGGGGCATAATTGAAGATAAAATTGACTGCACTAGGGATTTTTCCAAATACCTCATAAGGAATAAAATATTTTGATCCAAACGGGCCTGGACTGTATTATTCATAGGGAAGCAATAAAACGTTGCTCATAAATCAGCTGCTTGTGCCACAGAATTTTTATTAGCAAAATTATTTGTTATGATCCAACCTTTTCTGATTCTTTTCTTGTGCAACAGCAAAAATGGAAAAAAATTTTAAATAACTTTTATCTATAATTTTTTAATCCAGTTCCAAAAAGTTCAAGCCAAATTGTAATCCCCTGCTGGTGAATTATCAAGCTAACAAATTTAACTAGATCTTTATACACTGGATTGGCTACATCCACCTCCCAATATAATTTGTTAATACTTTTTCTGTAGTATTCCTTCTTGTTAATGTTCCATATTTCTTTTCAGCAAAATACATGCCCAATTATTATTTAAAATCTTTTGTATCTATTGTGAGTTCTTTTACAAGCTACCAAAATTTTGAAATAAAGAAATTTTAAGGAGCTTTTACACTAAATTCAGGGTTTGCCAAAATAGAGAATCTTGAAGAATACACTGGATTGAAATGTCTTTGGCTGGAATGTAATGGAATCAAGAAAATTGAGGGTCTTGAAAATCAAACAGAACTCAGATGTTTGTAAGTTTCACCTTTTCAGATGTTTTTTACCTTTTAAGAACTTTATTTTTATTTTAGTTATTCAAACCTTGGAATACCATAGCTTAAGGAACCATCAGTTTAACAAAAACAATTTTTATAGCTTGAGGAGGCAAAGAAGAGATTCAACTGATATCAGCCATACCAAGTCTTGCACATTTTCTGTGCACTTTACACATTAAAAAATAGAGGAGCAGTAGAATTTAAGCAATAGAACTAACCAGGTAGAGCTAAACAATATATCAAATGCACTTAGAATATTCTCCTAATCGGAATAAACTTAATGATATCTTTTTGTGCGCAATCATTTAAGTGAAATGGTACCTTATAATCTTTTCTTTTTCAGATATTTACACCAGAACTTGATTTCTAAACTTGAGAATCTTGAACCACTACAGTTTTTGGACACATTGAATGTCAGCAACAATATCATCGAGAAGATTGAAAATATTTGTAAGTTTATTTTTAAAATGAAATAGTATGTCTGTTGACTTTTCCTTGTTTTGTCCTTTTTATCTTGGTTACTAGAATCTCTAAAGCGATTTGTTTGTAAATGTTAGCAAAACATTGAAATTGTATTTGGATCTAAAACTAAATTGTAAGTGTTTTGTTCATTAGTTAAATTTTTAAAGCACCATGTAAACATTTTCTTAACTTAAACAAATTGTTTTCCATGCTTTCTTTAAGAGATTTTTAAATGTAAATTTGTATTCTAGTTTTCATGACAGGTTGCAAAAACAAGGTTTCTACTGTGTGTTTAATCTTAATTGGAGTATTCTCTCTTCATTGTATATATGCTATAATTTCTGGGCAAAGTTTAAATTCAAATAAATATTCAGTATAAATATTCTTGCATTTATATTTTTTCCAGCATGTATACCAAAGCTGAACACACTTCAGATTGCCCACAACCGACTAAAAACAGCAGATGATTTAAGACATTTACTAGAATGTCATTCAGTCAGGTAGTAAAATGTATAATTGTTTTATTTTTTTTTATTAAAACGAACAAGGTGAAAAGGAAACACTTTTTCTAGACTCTGCCAATCCTATTTAATGTTTCAAAGGAAACAAAGACTGTTTGTTTATTCTTACTATTTTTATTCTAGGCTATTTAAATGCATCCTCTCAAAAGTAGATTACATGTTTTTTTATTATTTGGCATCAATTTTAAATAAGAAGTGGAAGCTTATTCAGATTTTCATTATAAGTAATGATAAGCTTTCTATTTTTCGAACATTGTTGATGGTGAATTAAACAGTTATCCCTTACATTTTCAAATTTTCATCTATAGTTGGAAATGTGTTACCATTTGACTAGCAAACCTCTTATCAATTCCTGTCAACTCAAAAAACCTTAGAACCCTAACCTTTATGCAATCAGCTAAAAAGCGAGATACTGTTGTTTATATTTCTATGCTTTCAAACTTCATTTTTATGAAGTAATTCACTTTTGAAGTTCCTTTCTCCTCTATCTAATGGTAACTTGATGCAGTTTAGAAAAACTATATCTCAATCAATTCTCACAGAATATTTTCTGTATGATTTTCTTTAGATATTAATTTTGCTTTTCCTTAAATTTTTTTCTTATAACATCAATTCAATTTTAGTGTTTTAGATTTATCAAATAATCGCATTGAAGATCCAGAAATCTTAGAAGTTTTGTCTTCCATTCCAGATTTAGTAAGTAAATATAACAATAATATCTTGTTAAAATATTTAGAACCACAAAATTGAAACCAGCATTGCATAGCATGCAAATTACATGTCTCTTTTTTGCTTTTTGTTTTTCCATTTCACAAGGATCCTATAAAGGTACAAGAACAAATAGCCAATAAGGGCAATGTTAAGAAGAGAAACTTTTCTACTGCTAGGTTTTAGTTTTCAATTGTATTTTGCAAAAACCTTGTCCTGCCTACTGCTTTTAGCTGTCAGGTCTAAACTTATTTTGGATTGGGTTATAGCCCCTTGTTGGGGTGTATGATATTTTGATTAAATTGTACTTAATTTATCCCATTCCCCTTAGGATATTCAGCTCTTATACCAGAACACTTTATGCACCAACCCAGCTAAAAAGGGTCGCCTTGGGTTACCTAACCCATTTTGTAAATTCAGGGCCTACTTCTGTCTTTTGCCTATACCTTTGCTTGTAGCAGATAAACAATTATGTCTTTTCACAGCGAGTTCTAAATTTGATGGGAAACAAAGTTATCAAAATGATCCAAGATTATCGAAAAACTGTAATTTTGAGATGTGTAAGTATTATTTTTGTTTTTCTTCTCAAAACAACACTTGTTAACTGCTATTTGCACTTTATTGTTAAAATTATCTTGAAGTATCCCAGCTTAGGTTCTGTACTTTCTTATAATGTCATCAAAATTGAAGTTGATGGCTACAAAAGCCAATAGGGAATATTCAGGGAAAATTTCGTGACATTGGTTGAGATAATATAGTTGTACCACAGCACCCTCTTCAAAATAAGCAGTTCTTTTAATTAGGACAATTTCTGCATCTTTGATAAATATTAAAGTATTGAACAGATAAATGGTCATTTCTAGATAATGGGTTTATGAAAGCTCCTCAATTTCTAATGATATTTTTAGTTCTCATTATGCACACATGCATAGTGCAAGAACAAAATTAGGTGTGAACATCTGGCATAAAAGTGATGGAGACAAATTATAAGGACATCGTTGCCCCACTTGCTGCCTGTCGTTCTATATTTAATTTTCATGATTATTTGTTTTTAGAAGATAACCAGTACAGCGAAAAAGAGAGGCATTTTTCAATTCCTATTTCAATATCTTTACTCCAATTGAATTGAACGACTATTCCTATTCCATTATAAAATTTGCAAATTTAGTGAGACATAATGGAATATAATCAGTCGACAGAAATCAATCAAAACAGCGAGACATTCGATTTTAATTGATTTTCTGTCGACTGATTATGTCAAACTGATTTTGTCAAACCTGGATTTGTAAATGGAATATCTAACTGGCTTTTTGTCAATTTTGTAATGATTATCGGTTCAATTCGATTGGATTAAAGATGTTGATTCGAAAACTCATCCAACACTAGCCCAACTTTATGTAAATATTCCTAAGTTATCTCTTGTGCTACGAGAAAGAAAAGTACGTTTAGCTGGACATGCTTGGCGAAGTACGGGAGAGTTGGTCAGCGATGGGTTGCGGTGGAGACCATCTCAACCGTTTTCACGAAGAGGCCCCTCAACAAGAACATATATTGCTGACTTGCTGACGATGCCGAATGCCTGGAAGATGATTTACCAACTCTGATGGAAGATAGAGTCGAATTGGAGATATCAACTCGACCCGATGATGAAGACGATGATGATGTATTTGAAGGTTTTACTGGCAGTAATTGTTATCAGTCATGAAGTCATCATTATGGCATCGTTTTTCTTTAAACAACATAGAAAGATGTTGAAATATAAATTTTAAAATGTCTCTCTCTCTCGCCGTTTTGGTCGTCTTCTATATTATCAAGCTGTGTTTTCCAAGATCTGAATCTATTTGTTTTTATTTACAAATTTTTGAATTTATCTCTCATTTTGAACTTGTTCTTGCAGAAAAACTTGCAATATTTAGATGATCGACCCGTCTTCCCGCGAGAAAGAGCCTGTGCGGAGGCATGGTGAGTCTTTGAAAAAACTCTTCATCTTCTCAAGCAAATTGCCCTCAATTTTATTTTTATCTGGTGCTCGTTGTCTTTCTTAAAAATGCCAGATTGAGTGTTTGCTTTTAAATTGAACTTTAAGACATTTAGCGCACTGGGTTTTCAGTGGGTTAATACAAATTTTGTGTTAATACAAAGTCTACTGGCTTTTGTTGCAAAAATATATTGGGGACGTATTTTAAACAAATTTTGCATGATCTTTTCCTGCAACTAAGCAATTGGTACTATCATTGTGTTTATAACAGGGCATTAGGAGGCAGGGAAGCTGAGCGAGCGGAGCGTGATCGCTGGATTAACAAAGAAAGACAAAAGATAATGGACAGTGTGCACGGTAAGAAACCCTTCTAATGTTCCGTTTGCGTTTGATTGACATGCAGAGCTTTCTGCCTTTTCGCTGAAACCATGCTGTCTTTTATCTATCTTTGATGGTATCTAACCGTACCTATCATTCTAATAACGAATGAAAAACGGCATATAAATATAAGCTTTAACAATGCAAAAGTTTTTTATTTAAAAATTGCACTAAATCTTTAAGCATAGTTTCATATCTTTCGACACAAAAAGTTTTTTTGTAACTTATAGTAAATTGTGTCAAAGAAATACAGGTGTAATATCGATATTATCTGTTCACTTTTCAAGTTCCTTTCCCCTCTAGCTAATGGTAACTTGATGCAGTTTGGAAAAACTAGATCTCAGTCAATTCTCACAGAATATTTTCTGTATGATTTTCTTTAGATATTAATTTTGCTTTTCCATAAATTGTTTTCTTTTAATATCAATTCAATTTTAGTGTTTAGATTTATCAAATAATCGCATTGAAAATCCATAAATCTGGTATAATATTGATGTTATCTGGAATGAATTTTTTTGCATAACAGTTTATGGGCTTATTGCTCGATGAATATTTCAAAACAACAGTAGAGGTTACAAAATGGAAGCAGAGTTTGCTATTTCAGAAAAAATTTACCAAATTGTTTTATCAGTGGTTCCGCTAAAATGTTGCCCTCCTATTTTGTAAATGTGAAAAACCCTCTTAAATATTCTAAAAAAATGATTATTCGCTTTAAACAATTATTCCTACTTTTGCTGGCATTTCATTAGAATTTACCATCCATTTTATCCTCATTCTTATTATTTGAAAGCTCTACATCAATTTTGCTCTATTTTGTTCACTTCTTTTTTTCTTCTATCTTTGACTCAAAAGCTATATATAATGCACTATTGAATGCAAGGCTTAATGCATGAAAGAATAACATAATTTTTTGGTCAGTCAAAAGAAAGTTTTTTTTAAATCTGCAAAGAATGATTCTGTTTGTTTTTGTTGTGTTTCCACTGTCACTTATATTATTATTGTTTTCCTCTTTGCGTAGTTCCTTTTCCAGATTATAATCACTGAATATTTCACTTGTTGCTCGTTGACTTCCCCAACACGTGTTTGCAGAATATTTTCTGACAAATTGTCTTTGTTGACAGCTTTAAGCAAGATAAGGGAAGAGGCTGCAAAGAGAAAAGCAGAAAGGGAAGCAGAGACACAGGAGGAAGATAAAATTGTAAGTTTATATACATTTTTCACTCTACATCTAGTTAGAGATTGAATAGCTGAATTAAGTACATAATATGATACTAAGTGGTCAACCTGATTTCGATCAAAACAATTATGTATTTCTATTTTTCTGCAAAGCTTTGTTGGTCAAGATGTAATCAGTTTTGGGTATAAGATGCAAAATTATGTTTTTTTGCATTGAAATAGTTTTTCTTTTTTACGCGCTAAAAATCTACATTTAAATTTTTTTAATTATTTCTGACACGTTTGCAAAAAATATCAATTTTTTTAAATATTTTGAAAAGTCTTTTGATGTAATATGATTTATAAATTACGATACCTAATTTATGAAGTTGATATATTTCAACGAAAGATTAAATGACCAATTAATATATTCTATGACACTTGCACTAACTTCGATTTTTTCCTAAACCAGATTTTCTTTTATTCAAAACTTCTGCCATTTTCCTGAAACCTATTCTATCATTTTATGGTCCCATACTCATTATTTAAGCATTTTCGAACCTCTTATCCCTTCTTGGGAAGTCTTTCATTCTTCTCAAGAATTCGAAAAAGAAAATTTTCTTTGCATACTTTTAGATAGGAAGTTTAAACAATTCTGATCTCTTTAAAGCTTTTGTGAAAATCAAAGTTTTGAAATATCTATTTACTTCTTTTTTGTGAGAAAGATTTATACCTCTTTAATACCGAAGAGAAACCTCGTTTTTTATCGCCTTAAAAACCCTAACATGCTTCATTTTGCTTATTTTCTAGAGTGAAGAAGAGTTGAAAGCGAGTGATAATGAAAGTGTTAATGTTGATCCCACTAGACAGGAAGAAGAAAATGATAAGGAAGTCTTAGAAACGTCTCCTTCAGAGAAAGCCTTAGTTTCCGAGGTACCAACAGATCTGCCTGCCTTAGAATCGATCGAAACAACTTTTGAACAAACAAGTGATACTGAATCAGCGCAGAATTTGGATGGTGAGGAAAGTTCACAAAATACCAGCGAGCCTAAGTTAGAATCTTTTACTGACGGCGTAATCTTGCCTAAAACTTTTATTTGCAATCAAAACTTAATAGAAAAGGACGAAAATGAATTGCGAATCAGAGAGCCCAGAGCAGAAACATCTGAAGAAATTCCAATGATACAAGCAACGAATCGAAACAAAGTGGAAACGATTTTCTCAGCAAGCAAAACAAACGAGAATTCATCAGCCGAATCATCAGCATTTTTGCTAGGTGGCTCTTTGCAAGGTAAAATTTTGCATGTTCGTTAAATGATTTAATCTTCTAAGGTGAAAGAAAAGTTTTTACAAGAATCTAGCTTCTCACATTGTTTAGATAAAATAAAAATTACTGATTACTGGTCTGTAGTGAACTCAGCACAAACAAAATGATAACACTACCAGCACAGAACACCTTTTGTTTTAACTTACGCGCTAATTTTTCCCAAAATTGTTTTCATCTTGCTCTTTTTGCTTTCTTTTGCATTTAGTTCGATGGCTCTTTTTTGAAAATGTTTGAGGTGGTACAAACAAATTTTTAGTTTTAATATAAAATAATCAAGTCGGGTGACGTCATTCCAATTCATTTTGATTTAGTATTAACTGAGCAGCGATATTGGCTAAACGTCTGTCAACAGTGCCAGGCAAAGCCGTATACGCTTTTGTGTGCGGAACAGGACGATTCTAAGTTGCAACTCCGGTAATTAATGTGCTCAACAGGCAACTACAACCATTGGCTGAATATAGATATTCATCGTTTAGCCGATTAAGAACTATCTTGACTTTTACAGTCTTATGGTCAACATATTCTTTGTTTAGCGTTTGAACTCTTTGCAACGAGCGATTCCTGTGTTTCAGGAATTTAATATGGTTTCATAATTTCGGGGGGAAATGCTAGTTAAAGCGGCGGTTTATTGCTCCTGATGCTGTAAGTCTCTGGAGGACGATACTTTAAACGTTGACTGTAGAAAGAAAGAATTCAAAGTTGCATTTATCATATTTAGCGTTTCTGCTCAACGCTGTTTAAAAACGTTAAACATTGAATGTTGACCAAATTTTTAAAGTAAATATACCCTAAATGGGGTGAAAATAATGAAATCCGTCAACGAACTGATCTAATTGCTTGACTGACGTGGCTCTGACCCATCAGAATCCTTTAATCTCTGACGTAGTTAGTCTGATGGGAAATTGTGCGTTATTCTCAATGTGGTAACGACTCCTTTACATTTCTTTGGAAACGAGCTTGCTGTCTTAAGTAAACCATGTATTTTTAATTGCGTGTAAAAACCATTAATTTTCTTCGTTGACAACATAATAATACAATTCTACTTCAAAGCTTTCCGTTCTGATTTTGCTGGTTGCTTGAAAATTAAAGCGTAAATTTCAGGTTGTTTTTTCTAACCATTGGTTTCTGGTACCCGTAAACGTGAATAAATGAAAGCCAACTGCAGCTACAGTGTTTTATGCCTTTTATATTGTAATAAATTTTTACAACAAATTGGTCATTGTAAAGATGACTATTACGGCTCTGTTATCGAATTAGAAACATCATGATATCTATTTGTAAGATTAAGATTTATAAGCAATTACTAGAAACGCTCTTTGACTCTAATTTACAAGAAATAAAGTTTTTTGTGAAGTGAGGTGAGGTAACATGAACCTGAAATGACACTCAACTTGACTAACCAGCATGGATTGATGGTATTAAAAGACACCCTCTTTCTCAAACTCTTACTGCTTTAGCTGGGTGTTCAGTACTTATGATTCCTGCTAGATGGACTTTTGCTTCTAGCCATTCGTTTGCAATATCCAATTTATAGATGTTTTTATGCTAAGCAAGGTATATCTAAGCAAGTCACTTCCTACTAGGGGCTCCAGCCTTTAATAAAAAGAAACCACCATCATATTGTTTATTGAAAATTGATGTCGTTCAGGCTGGAAGTAAAATTCAACCTCCTCCCCCATGATAATAAGTACGTTCAAGATCGTCCTGTTTTTCATCTCCATTATTCTTCCCTCAATAGAGTACCGGAGTGTGACGTCATCAAAAGTCTATTTTGAGAATTTTTTTTAATTTCGACCACACAATCTAAAAGAACGGCATAAAATGCATCACAATCTGCAAATTTAGGTTGATATGTTAAAGATTGGGTGAGATATGGCCAATTAAGGATTCAAGACTGTCATCGGGTTACTTTTATTCTAGCCTGGTTCATAAAGTTATGAACCAAGACCAAATGACAGAGCTTTGATGGAATAAGAGCCTCTGCTTTTATGGCCATATCTCAGCCATTTTGTGATTCTTTCAACTGATTTTGCACATTTAGAGGTATTTCATAATGCTTTTTTGGAAATATGGTCAAAATTTACAAATTCTAAGAATGTAATTTTATGAAGTCATCACTTCGGTACTCCATAACACTGAGCGTTTTTTTTTGCATTTAAAATCCAATGATTTTCATGCCTGAATCCTTATATTTGTGCCTTCTCTCCACAGACGACGATTTGGAAACCATTGAACTGGCACCAAGTTCTAAAACCAAGAGACCGTTAATTGAAGTTTTAGGGGTATAAAGTTTGTTACTATTAACATTTCATGATATAGCAATATCTTACCCCCTTTCATTTTTCACGCGCCGAATTAAAATAAACTAAATTTGATGGACAAGCAAACTGCTCATATCATCACATCAGGGGGTTTCAGGAGATCTATTAGACGACTGCATATTGTTGGCAAGTAACAAGGAACTGATTGGTAGCAGTAATTTTATCAAGGTTGTGAACAAATGGTCGATTATTGAAAAATTGATGCGGGAAGTCGAATAACTATTTATGTGACATAATTTCTATTATGAAAAAAGATGTAAATTTGGTCCGAATTAGAGTAAGATTGGCCGAGTGTGCAGTGAAAGTTAATGTTCTTAAGACATTGACAAATTTTAGATGAAGTAATCCCCATTGTCCATCAAATAGGTGTAACTGACTTTTGAAAACTATGTGATAACGTCAGCGATATAACGAAATTTCGTTTAGCTAGATGCTGATGTATTTTAGACAGCCTCTATGAAACCTACGTTTTTCATGCCAAACAGGCAAAGACAAAACAGAGAGGAAAGATGAGTTCTCCTGGTCTTGTAAATGCACACTGCTATGAGGGACTCTGCGACTTTTAGAAGCCATTTGGTTAAACCCATTAGAAGCCATTTGGTTGAAACTTAAACAGAACCCATTAGCTCCTCGTTTATATCTCCGTGCTTTCTCTATAGGAAAACATAGAAGAGAAATTGCCTCCCGGGGAATTTATGATTGCAGCAGTGGAGACAACCAGAAAAATAAACAAGGTAAATTAATTTCACATTGTATCTTCTGCAAGCAGCATGGGGGAGGTTAAATTTTGAGTGAGTGTTGAGAGGAAAGGGAGAGGTAGCTGTGGAGATTTGAGAGGTTTGAGACGTAGTCGCGTGTACGATGCTAAAAATTTGTGAATCGTGGAAAAATAAGATGCTTAACTAGACCTTGATAGAGGGCAATAGCAGAATCTGAAATATTGGCGTCATCTTTTTTGAATACCAGATTGTGCATATGAATGGATATATCGCACTTGACCTGCGTTGACCCAAAGATTGCTTTAATGCTTTTAATCCAATTCTATGTACAGAATAACAGAATAATTACAACTGACATAAAACCTATTCGCGGTTGTCTAGCCCTCCCGTAGTTATTTAGGGCATTGATTCATGATAAAAGTGTATTCACAAATACGCCGAGTCATGATTTTCATGCTGCAATACTATTGGTTGATCTGATAAAGAAACAGGTATCGTGATTGCTCAGCTGTTATCAATCGTTGTCGAAATCACATGAAACTACAGTGATAACATCAAAAATAAATTGACATCCTGCAGAAATACCCTATATGTTACTTGACTCGATGCCTTGTGTTTTTATTTTGGAGAATAGAGTACCAAAATGATGACGTCACAAAAATCTTTTTTAGGTTCGTCTTGCTTCATACCTTTACGAACCAGGCCAGAATTACAGTAATCCATTAGCTTGAAATCTTGAAATCTTTCATTTGCCATTTCTCGCCCAAATATGAACATATTTTTCTGATCTTGTTTGTTGCGATGTATTTTATGCTGTTCTTTCTTTCAAATTAAGAAATTCTAGGAATAGATTTTTGACAGATCTCTATGCCTAGATCCTCTTTACTCTTGAAAAAAGTATAGAACCAATTTTCGTCTGTATTCAAATAAACAAGGCAGGAATTGAAGATAGAAAAGTAAAGTTTACGTAAAGACTGGCTTGCAGTGTGAAGCATCCGCTGTAGCAAACATATTGCCTTGGAAAAGGAGCAAAATTTTCGTGATTCCTAGAACAAACAAATTCACTAAAGTCTCTACTGTAAAAGCAACGCCCTATCGCCGTAAAATTGGGCACGGATCTTTGAAACTTGGAGTCAAGGCCGTAAATCCCGGGGAGACGGGGGACTGGACCCCCAAAAATCTGGAGCAAAACAATTTGGTTTGAAAAAATAATGGTCATTTTTTAAAGAAATGTAATCCCTTGTGGCTAAGCTGGAACTAAACAGATTTTTCGTATTATTGTAACAAACTCCAGCCACTATCTCGTGGTGTCAAGCGCAAGTTGCCTATTGCTGATGAACATGATTTATGTAAGCAGAGTCTCTAGCAGAATGGTGTCGAGTCGGTGACTGTGTCCAAGGGGTGAATCGTCCCAAATATCTTATCCCCCTTTGAATATATTACAGATGTGTAAGAAAAGAATCACATAAATCATCATAAATCTCGACAAATCCATATTTCACGAATTCGCTTTTTTATTACTCGTTTTTTTTATAAGAACTTAGCTCAAGACCTAGTTCCCATAATTCCTAATTTCTGGACATCTATTTCTCGAATTGCAGTACCAAAACCTCCATACTAGCAAAGACGCAATAAAAAAAAGAAAAATCTGAGTTTTGCTTGTAAATTTAGCTCGAAAAAGATCTCATTTCAAAAATCTCAATAAAGTGTTTCGCCCAGATTCGCCAACTGACCAACTGCACACGCTATATTCATTGATTCTGCTGACCTACCCCCTGCCCCACCCCCTGCCAAACCCCCACCCATCTGAAAATGTGCTTTGCCTTATGTTCAAATCCATTATTTCCAGGCTAGTACTGTCTCCCCATCAATCGTAGTCGCGGAAGGAAAATCTGAAGGGAAAAAAACTCCTATGATTGAAGTCATTGGTGGCGAAGCAGACAGAGGCACATCAAAAGATGAGGCAGAAGACCTAAGCGATCATGATGATGATCCTATTTGGAAACTTGCAGCCACTGTAGGTTCGACTATTTGAGAAGAATCCTTTTGACTGGAGAGTAGTTAAATTTCAAAGCTTTAAAACAGTTACCAAAGGCGAATAAAGATGTAATTGCCGGGAAACCATTGACAAATGGTATCTGAAGGCTTCCGATCCATTCATGCACTTTCCACAAAATACTGTTTAGGAATTTTCTGTTCACATTTCATTGCAGCACATAAATTTTTCGGCAAACTGTTCAAGGGTTTTGGCAAGGACTATAGATCAGATGGCGATTGGACATATTTTCAATTTAACCATACTTCCTCTCTCTAGGAATTTAGAGTTTAAACATAGAAAGAAAATCAAGGGTTTTGGTTCTGTTAGGAAGCAAGTTTGAACTTGATCAAATTTGTTTCCATTTGAAATGAAGACAGTCGCAAAATAGCACTGACTGTTTGCATTTTTCTTAAATTTTACACTGGTTATGAATACTTGAATGTGATTTGGTATCCCAAAAAGGCCAAAAAGGCGGTACATTCGTTTCTCTATCCTCACACCAATCAGCTACAAAATAATTTTTCCAAATTGAAGACTAAGTAACACCTTTGAGTGGAAAGACCAAGGGCTTTTCTGGGTGGAAGACAAATGGTCCGAAACTCTCTAAACACATCAGTTTTGGCTGGAGAAAATTAACAAATCCTTGGATGACTAGAACGTTTTCCAGCCATTGTGACTCAAGCTACTATGCGATTGATAAAAATTTTGCAGATTGCCAATAATTAAAGAATTTTTACATTCAAAGATTGATATTCAAAAATTTTCATGCATATCTGAATGAAAATTGTAATCCTATGAATCATGTTATGCACTATGTATTAGACATTGCAGGGGTTGCCAACCTAAACCCACCAAACACCATCCTTGTTTGCATTTTATGCCACTGCTTCATTAGAAATCATGTTAACAAAGCTCGTCTTATAATATGTAACATTTTATCTAAACATTAGTATTTAACTGCTGTATATATTTGTTCGTTGAACAAGCCATAAATGAGGGTGAAATGGTTTTGAGAAGATACCTCTATTTTTTAGCAAAAGCTTAAAGGATTGATATAGCTTCATGTGCTATTTAAATAGAAAATTATATTTTCTTTATGAAAGACAAGCTTTACACAGTCTTGAAACCTTGGATAATGAGTTGAAAATGTTTCCAGTCAACAGCTGGCTCCTTAAGGCCTTGTTTTTCACGGAAACATTGACTGTTTTTACCTTAAACAAGGTAAAGTTTGGAATTTCAAAACCATGTATTCTGTACGAATCCTGAAAAATCTGCTTAAGTACAGGACAAAAATGTTTTCATGAAATTATGCTAACAGCAATAAGCAAGATGGGTGTGCCATCACTTTAAAGGAAAAAAGTCCAAAGATTCGAGAGCAATTCACATCAGAAAATGATATTGCACCTAATGGTTTCTATATTTTTACTAGCAAGTAAAAGAATTCTTAAAACACCAAAAATTCCTTTATCAAATACAAACAAAAATCATGCGACATATTTCTGAATCACAATAAGATTTTACAGCTCTTTGGGTAATATGTAAGCAAGAAGCATATTATGCATAATTACAAATCAGAATTAGAAAAACTCCCATTAAAAACTGCAAAGTTATTGAAAAACTGAGGAAGCTGTCTCTTCTTTTAAATATAACCCACAATTAAACCCTTAAGGTATTTGTCATAAAAATTGCTTCACCAATACTTAACCTTAGAATTAATATATTTACTCCTGCAATAAGAAAGAAATTATTCATACCTTTGAAGCATACAAAAAATTCATACGAAGGCTTGATAACCACTAACTAAATAACCTTTTTTCTTTCTTCTCCTTCTTCTGCTTCAACCTCTAAACAATTACAGCTAAGATTTTCTAATCAAAGTACTAATTAATGGATGATCACAAATAATGTTTTTGCATGCACACCTGAAAACGTCTCAAATATTATAGACCACAGACCAAAATTCCAAAGTTGTCATAAATCCTGACTGAACAGTTCTATTAAGCGTTACTTTTATTTAGTGGCTTACCCAGGGCTGCAGCAGTGTGGGAGGTCTGGGGCCAAGCCCCCGGAAAATTTTTCTCGACCACGCCCTTCAAACACTCGCAAATGCCGGGAAACGCCCTTACTCCCCCCCCCTTGGGTAAACCACTGCCTTTATTAGTTGACCAATCACGTTCCATGCATTTTGGGTGACTTAAGTGTACATGTTGCCAGAAAGAAGCTACAAAAAACATCAAAACAATGCAATAAAAAAGGAAATGTGATAAACATGGAAGGCATTAAGTGGAAAGTTTTCATCACATTTCTTTTCAGTTGTATTTCAAGGGCTCTCAGAAAGCTCTCAGTAAACTTGACTAACTAAGGAGTAGGGCAAATTAAATGCTTAGCCTAAAGCAATTGCAATTTATGTTGTTGGGATTATATCTAGATAGCTAGCAGGAACATTTTTTACCAGTAGCATTGGATTTCCCAAAATCTATTGTATCCTTTGCAACAGGATTTGCCACATCAAGTGTCAGTGTCTCAAATATATATTCGAACAGCTCCATAATATTTTCACTAGTTTTTGCGCTAGTCTCAAAGAAAGGAGTCTTATCTCCAGGATGTGATTTTGACTGCCAGCGTTCACCAAGTTCTTTGACTTTTTTAATGCCATCTTCAACTGAAATTTCCCTGTTATCTCTTGTAACAAGATCTTTCTTAGTACCTGCTAAAACAATGGTACAGTTTTCAGCAGATGTCTCCAATAATTGTGTATATCTTGCATCAATTGAATCAAATGTTCTTCGATCTCTGATGTCATAAGCAACAATGGCTGCATTTGCCCCTCTGCAATAAAAATTGGACAAGCCAGAGAATCTTTCTTCACCAGCAGTGTCCTTAAAAGAAGGAAATAAATTATTTGATATCAGCTATTGAAAAATTACAATCACTTGAAAGCATTTATAATGTAAATGGATGTGAAATAAGCAAACATTTTTACAAGATATTAAACATCTTTTCATCTGATACTCCTCAGAGAATAAAACATCAGAATCAGGGTCCAAAAGTTCAAGCTTGAAACTATATACTCAGTTGTGGAACGAATACACTCTCACTCTCGTGTTGTGGAATGTTTCATTTTCTTCAATTTTCAAATTTTGTACCACCAAATATTGTTAACATATTTAAGATGTATTTCTTTTATCCAAGCAGGTGTCTGTGGACTCAAGTAAGAGCTAAAGAAACTTTTCTTATGTGGTAACTACAACAGACCTAATCGATTTAATTTCCTTTTTAGTGTGGATAACTTTTTATGTTACTGTTCATTTCAAACCAGAACATGATAAGCAAGTAGACAGGCATTAAAGCATGAAAATGAGTGTTCCAAATACATACAGTATAATCTTGTTATAGCATACTTTAAGGAACCGGCGTATTAAGTATGTTTTGTCCTAAGTAAAAACTGACTAAAACCAAGTATACCTTTTGCCGGGACCAAGAACATCAGTATGTTACATCTGAAAGTACGTAATAACCGAGTGCGCTATAACAAGATTATACTGTATAAATTTGTTATTTTTTGGTGTATAGAACAGGAATTTGCTCCCTTGCTAGTGACCTTTGCTCACTTGGTTTTGGTCTATAAACCAAGCATGTACAGCTCTGCCAATACAGCATTAGGCACTTTATGACAGATCTGTAAACAGTTATCTTCATTATGTATATACAAATTTCAATTAAAATACAATCTGAATAATTTTATGTTAGTTTTTTTCAAACACTTACCCAGATTGCTATGTTTGATGACTTCCACTGTTTCAAAAAGAAGGCGGCACCAATAGTCTGCTGGGAAAGATATCAAATTAAAGAGTTTCTCAAACCATTTTAAAATGAAACTATATATGAATAAAAGGGATTCAGTTTCTTCACAAAAACCCTGTCATCCTCTTTTGCACATTCATCATATTTTTATCAAAGTCAGAAGGGAACGAGCAGTGTCACTCCACATTTTGAACAGTAAGAAATTCAAGATCATTGTGATATTTTAGTAAGCATTGGCAAGAGTATAAAAGACAAAAACAAACATTATTTGAGAAAGTGTGTACATTAACCCTTTAAATTCTCCTTCCCTCAATGAAAGTGTATGCTCAGGACAGTGGCGCTGTGGAGTGGGGCCCAGTCCGCTTGTTAAAATTAAGATGGTTTTCTTTGGGGGTTAAGTCTCCCTTTACAAGTTGATATATGTTTGGTTTGGCATTCCTTACATGGCAATGGGAATAACACATTTTACTATGCTATGTCGATTTTCCAGGAATGAGCAATTTAAATCAGCTTTTCAGAGTCTGTGAATAGTTTGAAGGATTTCATACACACAACCTTTAACACAAATTAATGTTTACACAGTGTGACAATGGGTTTGGTCTTAGATGTGGGTTCTAGATGTTCCCTGCCTTTTTTAGGACATCACCTTTGGCTCAGGACACCTACCACTTCCCTCTGAGCTACTGCATTAAATGAATCTCTCTAATTCAAAGATGATAATCTTGTTAATCAAAAAGCTGAGTCAAAAATTTATCAATAGTTGACTCACATTAGGCATCTCGTCTGAGAACTGATTATGGAGATATCTGTTTACAATACAGGTTTTCCCTATAGCTGCATCACCAATAATGACAACTTTGAAATCTCTGTAGACATAATAGGACATCAATTAAAATAATATCACAATTTTCTTTCTTGTACTGTATTGCTAAAAAGGAATTAATCTTTAGAAAATATGACAATGGAGTGTTTTCCAACCACTGTGCTGTGGTACACCAGTGTGCTGTGAGATATTGTCTGGTGTACTGGGAAAAATTTTCCAATTTTAAAATAATTGGTCCAAAAGTGTGTCTTTCTACCATCCATGCCAGGATATCAACTCTGTGTTAATCAAAACTGGCCAGTATGCACAATGACTGAATAGAAATACTTTACTTTACTATAAAGTACTTTTTAATTAAGTGTTTAATTTGATTTCTTTTCAAGACACTTCAATAAGGACAACTTCATATTGTAAATGTAGGCTAAAGAGTCTCATTTTTTTAAATTTTTCTGTTTGTGCTGTGCCTTTTGATTTTTTCAATGAAAAATTGTTCCATAGATTAAAAAAAGGTTGCACAACATTGCCATAATGCAAAGTCCTCAATATGATAGATTTTGATATTACACAATAGATACACAGAACACAATTACATCATTACATCTGGCATGTTTATATAAAATTGCATGGAAGAGCAGAAACATATGGAATTATACTCAGATGTTCCAGGTAAAATTCTGTTTAATAGTTATTGACACTACATGACATAAATCATCTAGAAAACAGTTCACCAAAGCAGTTGAGTTCAAAGCAAATGTAGTATGGAGTTTGACATACGCCTTTCTCTTTTTGTTTGTTTGACTCTCAGGAGTATTCATGTTTTCTTATCAGCAGCTGATCTTCTCAAAGTTGGGAACAGACCAGAAATTTGATCTGAAAAAAGGCAAATTACAGAAAATCTTAGACAAGAAATATCATTCAGAGCATCTTTAGAGGTGGGAAATGATTTGAGATGGTTAAGTCATTAAGATGGGAAGTTTAAAGTATTTTGATCATATTGCCTAAGGAGGGAATTGGGGAATAATACATGGAAAAAATCAAGCCCAGTGAAAATGACACTAAGAGCTATAACAACTGAGAGAGAAGAACAAGGCAGCTAATAATAAATCAGAAACTATGTCTTAGAAGATTAGGTCCTTGTAGCATTCCCTGAAATGCAAGGTATTGAAAATGATATAGGTAGCAGCAGTTGCATCATGAGGGGAGGCAAGAGGGGGCGTTTGCCTTCCTAATGGTAAGAAATCTCTTTGCAAAAGGAATTTTTTTGCATCCAAATGGGTGTGGACCCAAAATTTCCCCTTGCTCAAATTTCCCTAATCTTAACCCTGGCTCACTACTGGGTAGCAGCTGAATATGTCAATATTGCCAAGATGTCAGGTTTTTTAAATGGTCCCTCCAGGGGCGGACACTTGATCAAATATTGGGGGGGCAAGCCTATTGTTTTAATAAGATGACGTCACATTTCCCATTGTTTTAAAACAAAAATCCATTGTCCTCTAAAGTATTGGGGGGGGGGGCGGTCGCCCCCCCAAGTGTCCCCCACTGGGTCCCTCTCTTTCTTTACATGTGGACTGACCACTCTTTATTAAATCTCTGATGTCGAATGTCACAATTTCCATAACAGACCACAGAGTCATACAGCAGCAGAGGATACGCCATTGTCACATTCTAGATTTTTGAATCTTGAGCAGCTTCAGGCAGTGATGAGGATATCTGAGCTTAGGTGACAATGCTGAGGATATTTGTCTAGAAGCATAAAGTTTGATGCTCCAAAATCTTTATAAAACCCCTTGTTTTCTTGCCAAGCCCCATGAACCATGTGACATTAATGGTAGAGTTTGTCTATTGTAAGCAAGTATTTTCAGCATCTGAAAATCAAATTCACAAAATGTACTTTACATACAGTCTTCAACTTTATGTTACTTGTTTCACTGTTAACAGAAGTGTCTTACATCATTATATTCTTGCTCTCCTCTGGTTGGTGGTGACTAGACTAGTGATGAAATAACGAGAATAACGAGGCTTGCATTCTTCCTTGCACTAAGATCTTTCTTCCTCTCGTTAAATATTATTTGGAATTAATTCATTGCCTCTCGTAAGATAGATCACCTGGCGATATTTATTTTTCTTTTTTGATTATTCATTACAGCTTCCTGCTTCTTATTAAAAGAATGTTGTTGTAGTTGGATATGAAGTTAGAGACGAGGCTGTTATTGTATTTGCGTCACCAACAAAATGGCGTCCAGAAATGGTAAGTTTTTAAAAAATTATCTGAACACGTTAATCAACAATAAATGCAAGCCAACCTGTTTTTGATATTTAGTGGTTTTTTATACCATCCAAGATAGATGTCCTTCGCAGAAGGAAAAAGAATTGAAACTTGATATGACAAACTGCATCAACAATTTTCTCTACAGGCTCCTCGGGCAGAGGTGGTCATACGTCTGATAGCATGATGGAACAAGAAAATAACAGACTGGCATCTGGACTATCAAGCAAGATCTCTACTTTGAAAAATGTAGCTACATTTTAGTCAGTTTTTTGCAACATTTTCACCATTTATTAAGATTTGTGTGCAACATTTGCTTCCTCCGCTCAAATATAATTGAAATTCCTACAAGACGAATAAAGGAAAATTCAGCTACTACAATTTATTTACCTCTTTATTGAATTCTAATTATGAAGATTAGAAATTATAACTAAATATAAATTTAAAACACACACCTTAAGTGATGGGAGTGTCTTATGAGTGGCTAATAGCCTGCATTGATATCCTTATTAAATTCAGTTTTGATTCTAGATTGCCCTTGATATTGAAAATGAAGCAAAGTACCAAAACAGTTATCTTGATGGAATGGTATGATATGTTCTGTTTTTTTATAGATAAAACCAAGTTATATTGAATCATCTAATAATTTTGGATAAACATATTACATGCATCATTCTGCAGATGTGTAGCCAAACAGATAGGGAGAAACACTACAATTCTACATAATTTGACAAGGGACCATTGCAACCACCTAAAACAACATAAAACCACCTACAGCCAGACAGCTTTTGTATATTGAACTGCATAAAAATAGCATTCATAGGCATTCTAATCAGTTTTCTTTCTTGTATCATAACGGGATTTGCACATCTTGCCAAAATTTGAAGAGCTGAAAGCATATCAATCATAGTTTAGGACAACAACAATTGCATCTTCATTAAAGGACAGAGCCTTTAGATTTGACCTGCAACTGTAGGAAATGTATTGGTGTCTCTTGAATGGACTTTATCAGACTAACAGCATAATATACAATACAGAGCTCTGCATACAACAAATATTGCCTGCACATTATTACTTATAAATTGGTCTAACAGCAGCCATATTTAACAAAATAAAAGTATTTTACTAAGGTTTCCGGAAATAAATAGTCCTGCCAATATATTTATCGCTATCATTATATGTATGTTGGCCTGTCACACACTGGGTCCTGCAAGAAAGAGGAAGGAGAAGGGCCTCAAATGTGTTGAATAATATGATATTCTTGCAAATCTTATTATGAAAGGTTTGTGAAGGAGTCATAATCTGTTTTCCAATCGGGTTGTCGAAATGGAGCCAAAACCTACTCAATTAATGTATCAATACTCTTTCGCAAAGTAAAAAATTCCAGCCTTCCAGACTGTCGTGCTACTCAAGTGATGTGAACATGGTGTTTGTGACATCACGATTATGTGGAAGGCTCCGGCAAACATATCGGTGCTCAGAAAATGTTTGGTGGCTAACTTTGATGCTCAATAACTCGAAAACTGTGTTGAATATTAAAAAAAAAATAATGTATCAGGTATTTATGCTTGATATGCTTTCATTTGAGGTCAAGTTAATTTTGCGTGTCAGTTCACCTTTAATTTAACTGTCTTGAGTCTTTTAATAATGAAAAATATGTATCAGCATACAGATATCTTAATCTAATTTGAAACTAAAGAATAAGCATCAAAGTAAATTCGTATAATCAAACTGCCAAAATTTAAACAGATAATTACCCATATTTCTCTTAATTACAAGTATAAGCAATTGAAAATTCTGATACCTGCATGGAAATTACAATGAAACATAATTATCATATTGAAGGTCCATTCTCACTTTGTTAGCGAATTGCATTTTGCAATCACCTGAAAAAAAACGATTTTATAGGATGCTTGAAACTCAGACATGCAACTAAAATCCATCCAGTTCTATTGATGAAAGTTTATAGCTCTGACTAAATTAACTTAGAGCACTTTGTCACACAGAGACGCACCTAGAGCACAGACCAGTGAACAGTTGTCTCCATTAAACCTGGGTAAAAAAGGAGTCTTCATGTTTAAGTTATTTAATGGTAGAACTTTTGAAATGTTGAAATGAATAAGAACTTGTTTCATTTTATTTTATATCTCAATTTAGGGTGATGATATGGAAACTACAAGCTCCTTACTTGGTGGTAGTGTTAAAAGACTTTCGCATATGATCTCATCTGGCAGCTCAAATCGAAGATTAATGTGTTACTTGATATTAATCATCGTTGGGGCCTTCTTTGCTGGATATTATGTCCTGACCAGAGTGAAAAGCTAAGTGTTAAAACTCCAACAGCTCCATATATTGTCTTAGAAAGTCATATGAACTAGAGACACACTTATTTATTTCTTATAATAAGATAACAATTCTTGATTAGATTTTATTCCAAAATATTTTAAAAAGATCAGTAGAGGAACACTTTTAATCAACAGTGACACTAGAATAGCTGTAGGGCATGGAGGGTAAAGAACAAATAAGGGCAAGAATAGCAAGATAAAGAAATTGCTAAATTCTGTTAGGGCAATGGGGCAACCATCCCAGTGCTCCCCTGTGCTCGGGCATCCCTATGTTTTATTAGAAGCAGATTATCAAATACTGTGCCTTAAAGTTCTAATTTTGGGATCCATGAGGTATATTGGTCGTTAATAATTGATAATATATCAAAGATTTTAAAGCTCTAATGCCATGGATCCATGCCAGATTCCTTGGGTAAAGCCCCAAAATATTGTTTCATTAATTATTGCATTTTTGCAACATCAAGGCTGATATTAAGCTCTCCTGTATTTAAAAACCTGGTATTGTATTGTATTACAATTTCTGTAGATTATTAAAACCAATACTCAAAACCATGTTTGTCAACATTCAATTTAACCTCTTGCTTTACAACCATGTATGAAGGTAAGATAATTCTAATGTGGCAAGTGCATACAAATCAATGCTATGAGAGTTCTGAAGTCTTGATACTCCTTCTTGAAGAACATCGTGCTTTCCGTTTGGTTTTCCTTACCAAACAGTGAAGGTAGGTTAAAAGGCACAGAGGGTCATTCTTAGAAAACAGTCTCTTGGCCAAGTCTTCCTGTTCTTATGGTTGCCACACATCATAATCCAAATTATACCTGAAATACAGGGACCTTGCTTCTCTCCAACCTTTCAACTATCAGTCGATTCAAAGCAAGGAACAAACTTAATTTGCTAGAGGTTCACACATCTATTCAATGCAACACACTTACTTATCAGGTTTATTTTATTGCTAAACTTTGCTCTACATGGAAGACATCAAGTCCATGCATCTTTGCAGAATTACTAAAGGGAAAAAGAGAAAATTTCAAGCATTGAAAGTATTCCAGTTGTTCAAAGTGCGGTGGTTTCTCTGGTTTAAATATTGTTAAATTTCAGAAACTTACAATCTTTGGCAGATAGTGCTGTGATTTGTGACTCTCATACAACACTTTAATATCCATACACCTATTTTTATTATGTACCTGCTGTGACTCAGCTTGGGGTGGGTGTGGGATATCTGGTTATTCATGCATGCTACCCGGTTGTTTGTCTGACCAGTTGTGTGTAGCTGTGTGTCTTACCAACAAGTTGACTGAAGATGCCCCTTTATGACAAAGGTGGTCTAGGATGTAGTCTTAAAATTTTAACAATAAAAGGGGGTCTATGAAATTTCTACGTTGCTCTTTGTCATGTAATCATTGCAATTTGAACATGATGAGGGTTGATGTTCTTGTCAGATCATTTGTTGAGCAGCCAGGTACTTTGACTGTTTGAATGAAAGCTGAGATCAGAACATCAGTACCATGGGAAGGGTCAGGGGGAAACTTCAATGAGTGTTGAGGGCAGGGGGGGGGGGCAAAATGCTTATATTACTCTGGGGATTAGTGAAAAAGAAAGAATCATGACAAGGAAGCCAGAGAATGCATCTAAAATATCAACAGCATAGATAAGGAAGAACTTTCTTCTTAATAAAAAGAAATGAACCCCTTGGTTGTATTTTGAGTTGACACACTTCCTCTTGTGGAGATTTTGTCAGCTAATGAACCATGCTACTAAAAATGTCATGCAAAACTGTTATTCAGTGGATTTAGAGAGTATTCATAGTTTTTAGCTATGGAAAAACCAATTTTGAAACAAGAACAACATTAAGAACACCTGAGGCCTGAAATTATCCAAAAAATAAGAACATCTTGCGTCTGCAAAATTGTATTGTTCTTATGAAAACGAGTGTAGTTCATCAAATATTAAAAGTAGGTGACTGGTTGTTGATTCAGGCAATTAAGACCATTCTAAATGCATTAGTAAAAAACCAACTGTCTGTAAATAAAATAGAAACTACACACTTATAAGAATATAGTCTAAAGAATATTAAGGCTCTTTTTCAACTTCAACTTCAACATTTCATTATCAGTATATTTTAAATAATTACAAGTGATACGATAGTGCTAACATAAACGATTGAAAGATTTAAAAAGCATATTTTACAGGGAATTGTCAGCAAGGAAAAATGAATACTGAAGGACACGTAGAAATAACTCTTCGAGCTACGCGCCCTAAGGCTCGACAGGGCCTCCGACTAGGAGGGGGCAAGGGGGCCAAGGCCCCCAACTTTTTTGCGAAACAATAGAGCTTTCTTCAAAATCTTTTGGAAAACCTAAGCATTAGACCTGTGCAGATGCTAAAATATCCTCGGATATGTGGATACAATCCTTTCCAGAGAACCACTGTTCTTTTAGTTAAATAACAATCAAAACCACCTCATCTTATTTTGGACGGACAAAATTCGGTATCATAGCAACCGGGTTGGGGTGTTACATAGCCTTTTCAAGGGACTTATTATACTCTAGTTATTAAGTAGCTGCAGGAAGGAGTGTAAACATAGTCACTGCCACGGGGCTTGGACCCTTGCGGAGACCTGAATGTATACAAAAAAACCTAAAATGCTGTTTTTGGTGATTGCTGAGGAAACACAACTTTCTAGTAATGGTACAATATTTTACTGTGTGTCCTATGCATCAAACTAGTGTCCTTTTCCAGCGCTTTCGCCGGCCTTTCGTCTCAAGCGTCCCCTGGGCCTATGTACCGCGCAGCCATTGGGCTAGCAGGGACTATAGCCCCCCACCCCAACTTTTTGCATGGCAGGAAATTGGAAATCACCAATAGATAGTCTACTCCTATGTAGTAGCAGTTCTCATTGACTGGGAACCATTTTTGTTCTTTTTTTAGGTGTTTCATCTTGTTTGATGATATGATGTATTTTGTAACTTGGTTAGCTTGGTATTTCATTACCCTCAAGCTAATTTTATCTATTTTTTATAGTTATTGATATCTTGTCGGAACCAGACTGCTTTTCTGCGTTCTAGAGGGCGTGACTTCCAAAAGTTTCCGGGCTCCTTTTTCAGTTGCCCCGCCTAACTTTTAGACTCGTGCGCGGTCTCTGCCCGGGCCCCAAGTTGCCTTTGACAACCCTTGTGACGGGTATATGACCATGTTATTGAGCATTCATAAGTTAAATTTTGATATATTTCCTTTAAACAAAATTTGATGATTTTAATGTTTTTTGAGGTCAATTCCTTAACAACGAAGCAAATGTTGCCTTGATGGGTTATCAAAATGATCAATTCCAAACAGTGTTGTGGTCGATTTTTTCATAATAGCTCTAAATATTTAATAATCCATTAGTTGGGTTCATTTAACTTGAGTTAGTGTCAGTAAGGTATTGTTTCGCATGGTGTGATACCTGTATCTTGATTGAAACACATTTCTTTTAGTGATCATTTTCAAGATTAGCGATGAGTGCTCGTGAGCTTCAAGGTAAGGTTTTCCTTATTTAATTTCTTTTTAGATCTTCCTTTATCATCGTGAACTCTTCTAAATTTGTTCAGCAAATCAAATGTCAATGCGATTCTAAAGTTTATGGATGGAATGTGAAGTTTTCGTATTGGAATGTGAAATTTTCGTATTGGAATGTGAAATTTTCGTATTGGAATGTGAAATTTTCGTATTGGAATGTGAAATTTTCGTATTGGAATGTGAAATTTTCGTATTGGTAAGGTTCACGTATTGCTTTCACTTGAAAGAATATGAATATATAAAAGTACTGGTATGAATGAACTAACTGACGACTTAAGAGTCGGAAGCAGCTATTCTTAATAAATGGTTTTATGAAAATTTTTTGGTGCTCAATGGCGATAAAAGCAAGCTTGTAACATTTAAAGCCAATCGATCCAATTTAGAGGAATCTAAAAATTCAAATAAATGGTTCTACTCTAATAAAAAGTAAGAATGTTAAACTTTTGGGAGTAACACTAGACCATCAACTTAGATTAGAAGAACATATTAAAGTTTTTTGTAAAGAAGCTGGGAAAAAGGTAAACGCTCTAGCCAGGATTGCTTTGAATATGGACAAATCTAAGCGAATTCTTTTAATGAAAACGTTCATCTTATCAAATTTTAATTATTGTCCTCTTATTTGGATGTTTTGCAATAGCAAAAGTAATAACCGGATAAACCGGATTCATGAAAGAGCAATGAGAATAGCTCATGATGAATATGAATCAACTTTTGAACACTTTTTGATAAATAATAAAAGAATAACTGCTCATAAGAAAAATTTACAATATCTTGCGATGGAAATTTACAAAACATTCAACGGATTGAATCCACCTTTTATGGATGAAATATTTTCAATAAATAAATGCCCATATTACTTAAGAAACTCCCAATTCAAAACAGCGGAGCCACATTACAAAATATATGGATTTAATAACGATGTCATACAGATGTAGCCAAATATGGAACTCAGTTCCAAATGAGATAAAGTACTCCCCCACTTTACAAATATTCAAGAAAAAAATCTCAGAATTTACATCGTTTAATTGTACTTGTAATCTTTGCAACGATAGCAACATCGCCTATATTTGATTTATATTATATTTAGCGTTGGTAATTTAAATTAGTTGGTTTTAATTAGCTTGAGTATGCATAGCTAGAAATTGTACCAACTTTCAAAAAAACTTGCTGGAGATATTGCGTAGCCAGTTTTGTGGCTTACTCAGGGGCGTTGTGGCTAGGCAGGACACCGGGAGATTTCCCGATGGGGCCCTTAAAGTGTCTATGTAAAACCCAGGAAAATCTTTTAAGGGAATAAATTCTTTGATGAAATAATCTCTCATCTATATAAAAGCTCGCTCATAGTTATGAACTAAAGATTTAGAGATGAACTTAAACATAAAGGGCCCTGTGAATGTGGTGCGTGGAATTTGAAAGTTTAAACAAAAGATGACCTGCTAGAATAAAGCTTTGGCGACCTGATGGGAGGGCCTTTGCTTTCGAGAATACCGTGAATCTAAGAATTAGCCCTAAGCATTAAGATAAACTTATTGGAAATCGATGAAGGTTTAAGATTATGTTACAAATGTAAAAATACCAAAATGCATAAGTAGATAGAGCTAGCATAAGAAGGGTTCCTAAGCCTACGTTTTAGGGAGAGTGCTAGATTGACATCCTGAGATGATTTACCATAAATCCTCGAACAAGCCCCCACGCTCGAAAAAGCACCCCCCCCCCCTCGAATAAGCTCCTACCTATTCGAGGGAAGCATAATTGCAGAATAATATCTTACTTCAAGATAGCCCCCACAGTACAATAGCTATACAGTATTACTTCCTTTGATTGGAGAACAAAAAGCAAAAAAGCGACTTTTGTGATGATAAAAAATTATAATATTTGTTAGATCTTCACATTTTTTCCAATTTTTCAATTTACCTCATTGAGAAATTGTGTCGTTTTTATGTCGACCATTGAGGAAAATATTAAACTTTGAAATAAGCCCCCCTCGAATAAGCGCCCCCCTCGAATAAGCCCCCGCCCAAAAATTCATTTTTGCAAATAAGCCCCCGGGGGCTTATTCGAAGATTTACGGTATTCCAAGCTTAAACCCTGGAAATATTCAGCAGGAAATATTAATCTGACCACCAGTCATCCTTGAAGCATTTTACCCGAAGCATTGTACTACGTACCTGCTTGTGTCCTGAACGCATACATTGGCACTTTCACTTTGTAACAATCATATTATAAATTCTTGGTTATAGCGATGTCTGAGAAGTTCTGAAATCTGAGTGTAGACCATAGCAATGCAGTTTATTGTGAAATTGTTTTTGTAAGATACATTTTTGGTTACTTTTTGCGTCGTAGCGCAAACTGAATGTGACATTTCGCGGCCATGTTTGCATTTTACAATTTTTCACTTGTTTATTTTGAAGCACCAGTTTTTTGGCCTACGAATTATGCTGAAAGCACAGAAATTCTTGAACTGATTACAGTACAATGCTGCTATAGTACAACTGTCTGGATGTCAAAGGGCCTTGGGGCTAAATTCAAAAATTTAAAGCATGCAAACAATTGCGTTCAATTTTTAGGCTGGCATAGGATCTACCTCATCTTGCTGCAGTGGTAGCAATTAACGAGTAACCACAAAAACTGGCAATATTTTTGTCGAATATTGTCCGTTTTGGACGTCTAGCCTATTCAGATTACAGTGCAACAGTGATATCTCGATCCTCCAAAGGAACCATGACAGTTATTCGATCCAATCAGGAGCTCTTATCAGGAGCTCAAATTATTTGGTTTATATTTGAATTTATTCAGCACATCTATGGGTCATGAAAGAAAAAGGGGGCCTAAAATGTATTAAAACAAGCCAGTCATTAACCTAACAGAACACGAAACAGACATCTTGTTTATATCTTGTTTGTATTTTCAGCTCATAAATTTACGTGAAAAGTTGCCCATATTATTTTGATATTTTTTCAACTCGACGAAATGAACGAGCAAGAATACCTGAAAGCGAAGTAAAACATGCTGGCAGCACGACTAACGATTTTCTGCATCATTTTCAACAGCTGGAAAGGTGAGGTGTTATACTGATTTCATAAAACCATTGCTTCTTTAATTGCAGTTGGCCCTTTAGGCTTCGTTTTGACTTTTTAAAGAACTGAGCGAGTCCTGCTTTCGATTTGATAGTGAGAAAGTTTTTAATTTCTCGTCTTTGATTCCAAGCTTTCTATGCCAGGTTGTAATTCCAAATCAAAAAGTTTACGTTGACGATCTTGTAAGATTTTCACGGGGGTCTGCATATTGACCATCAATTGTTCCGTTCCCAGCGTCGAAGTCAAGACCGCGTGCATAGTTCACTCCTTCCCGTATTCATAGGTTTCTCTGGATTCTTGCGTTTATTTCGCACATTTCCGTTGGTTTCTTATGCAGATATATGCCCAAATCTTAGTGATTATCCTTAAAATGATGGGCGAATTGCAGACTTTTGACGTAGTATTGATGTACATCAGAGTTTTGGATATTTTTGGAACTAGGCCAAGAGTCTGGACTAAATATGCAAGGAAATGGGATATGAAAAAATGAAGAATGCAACGTTTAATAGGTGTTTCATGAGAGAACATGAAAACTAGGCGTATTCTTGGAAAGAATATTGAAGGAAGCAAGAAAAACAGCATTAGTGTATGACATGTCCAGTGCCCGGCTGGTGAGAATGGTTCCATGTAATCGCTGGTTTTCATCAAGTTATTAAGAGAAGAGGTGCTCTCTTCAGGGTTTGCAGATTGGCCTTTTCAGGCAAAATTTTCCGATTTCGGCCTTTTTCATAGTTAAATTGCCTGGAAAAAATTTTTTTGGCCTGCTACTTAGACTTGGCCTCTTTAGGCAAAAATTCAAAATTGGAAGAGTAGTAAGTACATTAATGGAGTAATTAGTTGTTCATGCAGAGTGTTACCCAAATGACAAATATCATCGCCTAGCCTAACTATAAGCAAAGGAATTTTTTAAGAAGAAGTAATTTTTTTATTTGAGTTAAAAAATTATTTAAAAGGCGCATGCGTCGGCGCTTCTATATCATTGGTAGAAATAAAAACAGCGTCTGTGCAATGTATTTTCGAGAAATTGTTTATTTGGCCTTTTTAAGAGCATTTTTAGACAGAGCTGCTCACTCGTCTGGCCTTCTTTTGTAAATCCAATGCAACTGCCCAGCAGCGATTTCTTAATTTTGATTTCCTCTCCATTTACAGAGGCAGTTTGCCAGCTGTCGAGCAGTGCAGCTGACGGTGTTCACGTTGCTTATGCCAAAGGAGAAGGATGCAGCGAACCTTGTAATCCTGGTCTTCCTGTCTGCATAATGAAACTAGACGGAGTGGTGTATCCACGTCCAAGTAGTGGACCGAGCTTTTATTTTGCTGTGTTCGAGTTTCCAAGCTTCAGCCATAAACAAACTATCGGCTTCCAAACTTTTTCTAGTGGCCAGGCTGATTTGATGACCGATTGGATAAATAATTTGGCAGATGGCTCAGTTGTTATCGGCTGTTCACGAGATGACGTCAGCACCAGTATGAATTCCAGGGCTTGGCTGGCTTTGGTATGGAGCATCTTTACTCTTCTAAATAGAGTACCAAAGTGTGACGTCATCAAAAACCGTCTTCTAGAATTTCTTAATTTTGACCACATAAACTGAAATAACGGCATGAAATACTTTGAAATGATTACTGTTGATCTGGCCTTTGTCCTGATACTATCTTGTAATAATATGTAACAAATATGTAATCGAGGGAGAATCAAGTGGCTGTCAGAAATGAAATTAATACTTTTTTGGGTTATATGGTCAAAGTTAAAAAATTATAAAAATGGATTTTTGTGACGTCATCGCTTTGGTAATTTATTGTCTCTTAGAAATAAGGGAACTCTTCAATCTGGCTTGTTTGTGGTTGGTTCATGGGCATTTGAGGATACACTAATAATCTGTTATGTCCATTCATCATTTCTCTTATGTTTTTGTCACAATGATCATACCCAATTTTGATAAATTGTTCCGTAAATCCACCCAACAGATTTTTTGTCTTTAGCGAATTGACTATTTTTGTCGAAAGAGACACGTGGCATTTAATTTAATTTTTTTTAATTTCATTTTATTGTTTATTTTGAAATTCAAGTACATGCAAATCAACTAACTACAACTTAAACAGTAACTAATAATTAATCTATAATGAGATTGATAAATGTGAAAAATACTGTACATAAGATAATTTATGTCTTATTTGCACATACTAGAATAACATACAGAAGAACCTCTCATAATAGTTTGAAAACTAACAAAAGGAGAGTACCCCCTACTAGAGCACATATTCCATGTACGGCAAAGCATAGATATTTGCAGTGACCGCGGAAGCGAGAGGGCTGGGGGGTTTTGCAAAATGTACTTAAAAACATAAAACAAATTGCATTGCTCTTGGTTTTCAGCATGTTTAACCCCCCTCCGAAATGATAACCCCCTCCATCTGTATTATGCTCCGCGGTTCTTGGATATTTGGCATTGCCATATTCTTTTTAAATCAGTGTTTAAATGGGTAGTTTCTTGTTTATTCTGGAAGATTATTCCACATTTTGCTCCCGTGTCTGCACAGCCTCGTGCAGGATTAGAGATTGGTTAGAAATAGATTTCTCTCACACCATTTTAAACCAACGCAACACTTTCAATGAAATGTGCCATTCATAGCCAAAAAGACACAGCGTCATCAGTGGCGGACACCTGGGGGCGAGGGGGGGAGGCGACCGCCCCTCCAATACTTTAGAGGACAATGGTCTTTTGTTCCAAAACAATTTTAGATGTGACGTCATCTTATTAAAACAATAGGCTTGCCTCCCCCCCCAATATTTCACCAAGTGTCCGCCTCTGAGCGTCATCGAGTACCGGCTATGAATGGTACTTACAATATACAAGACTTACTAGCAAAATGAAATGAACACAATAAATTTAGAAAGATTAAAAAGTACCAAAAGTGTGTCTTGAGATCTCCGCTCACACGACTACTCAAAGTAATAGGTATAACTAGACCTATCATACCTATGGGACCCTAAACCTGGGAATCTGTAGATACTATCGATTTTGTGGACAAAGTATGCTTTATTAATAAACTTACTAACGAATGTATACAAAGACTAAATTCAAACATTTATGTGATGATAGCATTGATTACATATTAAAGGCTTTACATCTTAGCCACTATGAGAGGGCAGTGGCGTACCCAAGGTGGGGAATAGGGGGTCCGGAGCCCTCCCCCCCACTTTTCTAAAATATGGTCCTCGACATTTGTCCCAAAATGATGTAAAACTCATTGGGGGGGGTTGTAGTATACTGTATGCTTGTGTCAATAACAATTATGAAATACTTTGCTATTCACCGTAGCTAACATGATTGAAATAATGGGGGAAAATTTTGCAAAAAGGGCGTTTCCCCGCATTTGCAAGTGTTTGAAGGGCGTTGTCCAAAAAATTTTCTGGGGCTTGCACCCCAGACCCCCCCACTGCTATTTCTTTATATTTTAGTTATATGATTTGCATCTTTTTTATCATTTTTATCCTATTTATTTTTTGTTAATGCAGCCATTCCATAGCTCTTCTTTAATAATCTCTTCTACATCAAAGCAATCAATTGGAATGGATATCACTCACACTGGCTACCGTTCTGCCCACGCGCTGATTGGCTACAAAGGAGCCTGGCCTAAACACATGAGAAAATCGAAAAGTGTCAGTGCATTTGCAGTAGAAGTCACATATACCTTCGGTGAGATCTATATAATTGAATCTTCTCTAAATGAAGGGCATCTTGTTATACTAGCCTGGGAGTTTAGAATAATTTAGCATGTGCGTATGAGAGGTGGAAACTACAGTATGCAAACAACCTTTTTCATGGCTATGGAATAACATTCCAAGGATTTAGACAATGGAATAATTTTCCAAACGAATGAGGAGATTTTCAGGATATAATTGAATTTGAAATTAAGGTAAAACAACAGAATGGAATTATATGAAGTTGCTAGATCTGGAAAACCTATGTGGCCAACGTTGGTATCCTTGAAAAATTATGCAAAAATATATGCAATATTGTATTTGTTCGTCAAGTATGCGCATGCGTAGCACTGCATATATTTATGTTCATCTTAAATTTCTTTGCACGATAAGCCCTTCAGATTCAACACAAAACATACTTCCACATTTGTACTGACTATCGACGCGTGTAAAGCAATTGGTCTAGCCAAGGAAACGAAGCTTCATTCAATCAATGCCAAAGATATTTTGTTTCTCCTTGTGAATTTAGATGTCATAAGACACTGTACAAGAAGATGATTACTCCAAATTTGCTTTACAAACTTTGAAAAATGTTTTCGTTCATAATTTACATCGGCAAGGTACGTTTTTGGTGTCGTTTCGGCTTCATAAAACATACAAAATGCGAAAGCTTCGCACGATGATCATGGATACAAAGAACTATTTTATTCCATATTGGTTTTACTATTGAACGCAGGTTGTTTCACCCAAAAAACTTTTGCTCAACTGGCGTGTTGCCACGCGGGAGGCCCCTTTAAGGTGGGAAGATCTCTGATATTCATTGCGATTTCATCCAAAGTACTAAGAGCGTTATATCGGGTACAAAATTGTTTTGCGGAAGCACAATATTTTGTGAAATTGAGATCTTAAATTGAATATATTCTAAGATTTTGTAGACAAAGCCTATTCATGATTTTTTTATATTCTCGTGAAATTTTTCTAATAAACAAAAAACTACATGATGATGCCACAGGGAGGATAGCAACCTTGGGACAATTTCACTGAAAATATTTACTTCAAATTATAATTACATTAATATTTACCAATTACATGTTATAGATTGCTTATCACAATAATCAAGTTATGAAAAAATTACATTGACGTAATAAAATAAAAACTAAAGAAGATAAAATATTCATGATTTCATATGTCATCATTGTCATGCTGAAACGATATGAGACAAAATAGAGGCCACAGCCTTTTTATTGCTAGAAAACACCTTTTTTCAACAGGGAACGCCCATGACTAACTTTTTTTCTTTAAGGCAGTTTCAAAAGCACCTAGGAAAGAAAACTTTATATCACTCCTTTCCCTAACGTCTTCTCGTCGTGTTTAGACGAATACAAAATCGCACCTGCCGGGAACTGGAGGGGGGGGACGTGTTTCCCCAGTACGCTGTGACGCCATCGCTGTACATCGTTAAAATAATGGCTATTTTTTCAGTGCTTCCTCCTTTGAATATCAACCCGTATATCATCGGAAACATGCTTGAGGTCACATGGACAAGAAGAGGTAGTCAGTTCCAGCGATATTTCATCAACGTCACTAACAGTTTTGGTACAGGCGAGGGTGACACAGGCCTTGATGTTCAAGCAGATGTCGGTTCAGCAATGATTGGTCCACTTACAAAAGGTGCTTGGTTTACAATCACAATGCAAGTACAGCTATCAAGTAGCAGCGATCAAGTGGTGATACCGTCAGATCCATACTTTGTCATCTTCAAAGGCACAACTGGTATTACCTGATTTTCATACCCCTTCATATTCTTGAATTTCTTTCATAGGAACATTTGCGCTCCAGAGACGTTTTGAGAATTCCTCGTGCCATCTATGCTGCATCACAGGAAATGGAAAAATGCATTTGATTTAAAATGCCCACTTATGTGTTCCACTCTTTTTTCATTTTGTCTTATCTAAAAACGACATTCATTCAGCTGCCACGCAAAAATGTAAATTACGTTTTAATATTACAATAAAATTTCAATCACTCGCGTCGGAGCGTCCGTGAGATGGGCAGATTTATGATAATAAAAAAATGAAATCTACTTTAAAGAGGGATATATACGTGTGACATAAATATTATACTGGAAATTCCAATCGTTTCATGCAGATACTCCAACAATTTTTATTTGCAGGTTGCTCCACGGGAATTTTCCAGTTTCTCTTTAAGATTGATGGCAATAAGGTCAGTAAAATATCTTCCCTTAAAGCACATAACTTGAAAGTAATGGTGATGATGCTGTGTAACCACCGTGATAATCATAGGCGTGGTGGATTGTGCACATTTAGTGGAGCTTTGCAGGGATCTGGCTAGAACATTATTGCTGAATGCTAAAACTTTTTCCTATTTGGTGCTGCAGCTCCTATGTCTCATCCTACGCCTATGGTACGGTACGGTACGGTACGGTATGGTACGGTACGGTACGGTACGGTACGGTACGGTATGGTACGGTATGGTACGGTACGGTATGGTACGGTACGGTACGGTACGGTACGGTACGGTACGGTACGGTACGGTACGGTACAGTAAAGTTAATTTGTTGTTCTGACATAAATTTCGATGTTTTGATATTCTATATTAGCAAACATTCAAACATGACGAAGATTTGTGGACGAAAAACACGAAATTTTTACCGGAAATGAGCAAGTTCACAGGGTTTGATGAAATGGAAGCAAAGCCGAGAGCTTATGCTAATTACAAAATCAGCAGAATATGCGCTGGAATGAAGGATTTACAGACGGGCTCATATGCCTTCATCGAATTCAACATGACAACACGCAAGACTATGTATCAATGGATGCAAGACTCTACTGGTTTCCCTCGTTTACCGTCAAGTGCATGGAACATGATTACCCCACAAGGTGCCCTTCTTGGCTTCTTTCTACTTTGTAGCATTTTCAGTAATGATCTTTTAAGTTTATAGCTAGATTTTTATGAAGGTCTTTTATAGAAATGGGTTCCATGCTAGCACTGGCGGCGTACTTTTAGCAGTGTTTTTGGAAGAGTATCCCATTTAAAACTATTCCAGAAACACGTGGTAGCATGATAAACGATTAAAATGACAATGTGGTGTATTATAAATGGACACACAATTTTTGCGATACTGAGGTGTGCGAGAGTTTGTGTAGAATTTATTTTCTTTCCTCCCAGCTCCTCATTGTTGCCTCTGTGTTAGCCTTGATTGCTATTATCAAACCTCCCATCACAGGTCGTTTTGACTTCATTTTTGGAGCCACCCCACAACCAATACAACTATTCGAATCAGATCAACGAGATCTTTCGTTTGAGCCTAATTAAGAACCAAAACGTGTTTTATAATAGTACCATTGCAAGGTGAACAATTTTGACATAACTGTCAAAGGTATTTCATGTGGCACAAATCACAAAAAGAAAGATAAACAAGATATTAGACTAGCAACTTGCCGCTTCTAACAAGTTGCTTACTTTCATAAAACGAATTTGTAAAAATAAGCAAAATTCTGCATCATGACGTCACTATGACGTCACAGCATTACCAAATATTTTAGCATGAGACATTAAGCTATGCATTCAGCTATGACTAGAACAAACAGTAAACTTCTTTATTTCAAGTTAATTACCATATTAACATCCATTATCAATTTTCCAATCAAGGAGTACCGGTCGCAGAGGACTGTTATCAAGGTATAAAAGTAGATAAGAGCGATAAAAAGTCGATACTTGGGTTTCTTGGTAGCTCCGGAGGTGAAGGGGGCTGCGTTAGCAAAGATGTCGTTGGCGGTTACGGCCTAAAATATAAAGGCGGTAACTATTTATCAGCTGGAGCTATCTACGAAAGTGGTGATGGAAGCAAAATATTCAAAAAGGGTTTCGGATATGTTTTAAGTGAGTATCTTTAAACGGACTGTATCTCTTTAATGTTATGTTGCTATGGGTTTTTGTTTTTTAGGCTTAGGTGCCTTCATTTGTCTTTATTTAATAGAGTGTCAAAGTCAGAGGGGTGGGGGGGGGGGGGGTTGCCGGGGGTTAGAGTCATGAATCACGGAACAAATTCAGAAATTCAAAAATTCACATTTTTTGTTTAAAAAAGTATGTTTTGTTTCTCACGATGTTTTACGTTATGCCGTTTACCACACTCTTTAATAACTTTTAAAGTCCCATTACATCACAGTCCAGTTATGTGCCTGAGTTCTTCCATCTAACTAATGTCAAAGTTTCGTTTGCAGGGTATTGTTGAGTATTATTTGATGTTGTATTGTGTTGTATTGCTTTTTTCTTCTATCTTATGTCATTTTATTATATCATGTTATACTTTAACAGGTTATTGTAAACTATTATTGTGTATCATATTGCTTTATCCCGCCGGATTGAACAGCAAAACCATTACATCGATGTTATGATATTGTGACAGACGCAGAAGCTTCTTAAAAAATTTTCTTGCATGTTCAGCCTCTCCAAAAAAATTTCCTCCCCACTGCTAATTTTTGCAAAACTCTGCAGTAGTTTCATTTTGCCTATCCTTTAAAATTCAACCACCGTACCTTCAAATCTTGTAGTACCATACTTCGTTGATTCTCAGTGGAATGGATGGGGTTCCTGGCAGTCCTGTACCCGTACGTGTGGAACTGGAACCAGAACAAGAACACGAAACTCAACTCGAGCATCTGGCGATGGTATCCAGTTGCCTACATCTGAAACTAGTATCGAAAGCTGTAAAATCGTCGACTGTCCACGTGAGTTTTTTTTATATATTTTTCCAAGTTTTTATTCAACTCAACGAATTTCGGTTTTTGTGAATAGCTTAGTAAGGAAATATCTCATTAGAACAATGTTTGCATATTTGCATCTGGTGACAAAAATGACATGTCTTGAGGAAACTAGAAATGATCCATGAAGTTAGAAACGTTTTCTTTACTTCAGCAGCTTTTATGAGATTAACTCTTTTTTATAAGAACAAGTAAATTTAAGTTCAAGCTCACTGTTCTTAATTTTTTCGAAAATCTGAGGCTGGATTGTTCTTAATTTGTTCTTAAATTAAGAGGATATAAGCAGTGCTATTGCTAGCTTTTTCGCTCTAAGGAGGTATTCAGGCCTCATTTGCCAACAAAGTGATTTAGACAGCCTTAATTGGCTGACAAATTTGAATATTCACCGAAAAGGCACCCACACATCGCTAAAAATCCTCGATTTGGGGGAAAAACGTTGTTCAAAATTGCATTTTGTAGAAGCTTAGCCTCAGCATGTTCTTAATTTGTTCTTAACTCTGACCAGTTTTGAGGCTCGTGTTCTTATAAAATTGTTCTTATAAAAAAAGAGTGTAGTACAGAAGTGAACTGGAAGTTATCTTGCGGTTTAGGCAATAAAATGAAGTTACAATTCAAATGTTCTGCCCTTCATTTCAAACTTTGTTATTAACAGAGATAAGAATGATGGTAGAGTAACACCCCAAAAACTCTTGTTTTGAAGTACTTTTGTGCAAAGTATAAACAAAAGTCCATCGATTCGAATCAGTTATCAATACCTCGGTTAGGCGAATTCAAACATTTGGGAAAATACGATTTAATTTATTCCTTGAATACTATTCATTCCAGCACCCTTCCCGCAAAACATTATCGCAGAGGCAAAGGCAAGAGACCAGATAAAATTAACCTGGACCCAAGTCCCCCCAGAAGAGATGACAGGTACATTTGCTTATTACCGGTGCGAGCATAGGAAACAAGGTGAATCGACTGTTGCCCTTAGCACTTCGTCGGATGGACAGAAGACTTTTTACACCTTGCAGCCGTTTACAGAGTACTGCTTTCGAGTGCGGACAGTACTGCAATCAGGCGTTGCAGGCGACTTTAGTAGCCCTGTCTGCAAAGCAACAGAGGAAGCAGGTAAGTCGCAAATAGAACGTTATTTTTCTACTTTAAACTACTTGGATTTTTAATAGCAGTTTCGTTCGGTAAAGCAAAACAAATCGACGTTAAGAAAGGACGATATTGATTTCAGTGCTTCCAAAATGATTAACTTTATTCCCTTAACTTTTTTACTTTATGTTTCGAGTTGCTATCCTCAATCCAAATCCCCAACCACCCCTCCCCCCATCCCTACACCCCCAAAAAATTTACCTTTGGCTTTGGCTGATAGAAACTTTGGCAAGGTGCACTGGTAGAGATAATGACTCGATTTATGAATAGCCATTGTTTGAGAAAGAGGTTTTTGAGAACACGCATATTGAGTGCAAATGAGGCCAAGATTAATTATCATTTTCAACATAAAATATAGCTTAATCAGTGAAAATTATTGCTGCTGAAAATTTTGATTATATTGATTTTATGAGCTTCTACTCATCGCTTGAAATTGAATTATAATCCTGAAAAATAATTTAGTTAATTGGCCAATGTCGCCTTCAATGGCAAGTTCATATCCCACATTTCGTTTTGCAATATCATTCTCTGATGTAATTAAAATTAGAATTATGGCTATTGTTCAGGAGACGAAACCTTTAGTCCTTTGTTTTGAAACAATACCGTCTTAAACCAATCAATGTTGCAGGGTCATAGAACATGCGCATTAATAACAGTATTCGCACAGCTGTTCTATCTGCGACCACACAACTCTTGAACTTCCTGCCAGGGCTTCAAGTGATAATGCGCATGTGCAATGACCCTGGAACGGGGGATAGTGCATGTCTGGAAGACGGGCATGAATCATCGCCCAAACAAGCTAAAACTTTCCGATCACCATCAGATTTTCCAACTAACTAGATGTTTTTACAAAATTTGGAGGTATGGCACCCCCGGTATTTACGTACCTGATCAGTAACTTGATGAACTGTTTGAAAACGAGGGCTTCCAGAAAACGAGCCCGTCTACCCCAAAACTTACACAATGGTAGATAGATTGACTATTTATGGTATGTAAAAAAACTGCTGCCTAATTACTGTCCTGTCAAATTTTATATTTCGCTTGACCGTATGAAGTTACATCTTCTTGAGTAAATCTTGGTCTAAAAGCCAATCAGCTTTTGATCTTTCGAACATCTTTGTGTTTTTATTACATGTCCTTTTCACAATTCCAGAGCCACGTGCAGCCCCCTCTGAAATAAAAGCCGTCAACTCATCGTCCTTTTGCCTCAACGTCACATGGATAGCGATACCCCCAAATCTGGCTCGAGGGGTGATTACGAAGTACAGAATCTATTACAAACTTCAAAGCAGTGGGGCAACCGAACAGACAGTTGATAGTGAGCCTGACCAGGAGCACACAGTCTGTGGATTGGAGCCTTACACGGAATACGTCCTGAGAATGTCTGGGTTTACTAGCAAGGGAGAAGGCCCAATATCATCACCATATACTCCCCCTGTTTCTACAGATGAATACAGTATGTATTGCTCTTACTGATGATAGAGTTACCGATTATTGGTTAGACATTTACTTAGCTTGGTTGTGCGAGGATGGCTCAGTTGTTAGAGGCGCTGACTACAGACTTTAAGGGTCCGTGGTTCGAGTCCCTGACATTACCAAACTGCCAAGCAGTTCAAAGGTGGAGAGGACAGACAAACAGTTGCTGAAGCTTGGAGCAAACCTTATTGCCCACATCCTTTCTAACGCTGGACATTGCCCTTTCTAGAAATGTCTGAATCTATGCACAGACCCATTTGATAACATACCTTTTTGATCCATTATTGTATTGCTGAATTGCCGATGACCGGCGAGGCAGAAAAAAAGGGTCGAGGCTGAGAGAGTCAGTAAAATATCTTTCCTGTCTCGTCATTGGTATTTCAGGACCACTTACCCCTTACGTTATTGCTGCAATTGCTACAGTCTTTTTTAAATACCAATTGCCTTTGTTTATTCGTTTCGTCTTTCTTAATTTCTGCTGCTGTTTTCTTTCCAGTTCCATCTGAGGCCCCTGCAATCACAAGTACTCAGCACACGAGCTCAACTTCTATTGTTGTCACCTGGTCAAGTCTTGCATCGCCACTCTGGCGAGGGGTACCTCTGGGATACAGAATAAACTACGTTCTGCATGACATATATGCCATCTCAGGGACATTTCAAAATGTCTCCAGCATCAGTGTCACACATCAGCTGCTAACAGCCCAGTTGACGCAACTTGAAAAATACAAGAAATACGTCATCTGGTTATGTGCCTTTACTATCAAGGGCAATGGTGTCAAAAACAGTAGCTTTGCTGAACAAATGACTGATGAGGACAGTAAGTGTTGCATTTGCAACTCTAAAGGCAATAGACAGATACTAGAGTGGCTAAAGACATCTGTCAATCAAAGATAACCAATCAAAAAGGGTAATACCACTCACGTGTTACTGTTTGGTCAATAGTTGATTGACTGATGGATAAAGCCACATTTTTATTTATCTATTGCCTTTGACAACAGCTTTGGCGCTTTTAACAACAATTCTTATAATGAATTGGCAAAGTTTTTTGAACTAGTTTCAATTCCTGAAAGATGTCTATTTCTCTGTAATTTGATGTTTCACATTAATATCTCGCCTTTTTTCTCAGTACCTTTACAAGGCCCTCCGTGTACAGCGCACAACACAAGTGCATTCTCAATAAATGCTGTGTGGTCCCCACTTGAAACTCAATACAGACTGGGGCAACTTACTGCCTACACACTCTTCTATAAGAACCTCAAGACAGGCGATGAAGGACATTTTACGGTAGAATCTAGTATGACCAACAAAGAAATTAAAAATCTGAAGCCTTTTCAGAACCACAGTTTTGAAATAGCAGCCTCGACATCAAAGGGCATGGGACCGAGAGGCCCACCTGTATTCTGTTTGACTGACGAGTATGGTATGTTGAATTGCTATTTTTGCATCGTATATTTATTATTATTCTTATCTTAAGTTAACAAAGTTCAATTATCTTCGAGCCATAATTTATCTTTCGCAGTTTCTGTACACGCTCTTTAAGTGCAGTAATATCGCGAGAACATACTTTGGGGTGGGGGGGGGGTGTAGTTTGGGGGCTCTTGACAAGTTAGCAAATTCTTACAGCAGCTTTTCCACAATTATCCTTGATTTCACAGTATTATCGTCATACTTTAGCAAAAAGTGAGGTAGCTGCATTTTTCAATAGAGAATATTGTATGGTTGTAATTTTCTTGTAACATGTATATTACAATGTAACCAAACTTTTACAATATATTTCTTAATCAATCAGATAGTATAAAGCCCTTGGAAAATAAAAGGAAATGACAATTTATTTAATCTTTTCTTCAAGTCACAGTGTTTTAAAAGCTTTGATGGTTAATTAATAAACATAATCGCCAACTTTTTAAACACAATTTACAAGTCAAAATTACTTCAAGAACTTTCTATCCTTGTCTTAAAATGCCTGGATGGCATTGAAAATGACACAATCCTTATTTTCGAGTTATCTTCTGTTAGATATCACCTAGCTGTATCACAAAAATTTGAGATAAGAATATGCTATGTATATTCTTTCATTTTAGTTCCACGCACTGGGCCCCCAAATTTTAGCGGAGTCAACATCAGTTCGTACGACTTGCAACTAAACTGGTCAATAATACCCAAAGATGACTGGCAAGGAGTTCCTTTGGGCTACACAATTTTGTATCGAGAAACTAATGCAGACGTAAACATGTGGAACAGCTCTGTTGTTAATGGCAAGAATTCGTTATCAACTATAATCTCAAACCTGACAGCATATACAAACTATACCCTTCGCATTGCTGGATTCACAATAAAAGGGAATGGCAACTTTGCCAATGATATTGTTGTCATCACTGCTGAAGACGGTAATCCTATTGTTTTAGTAATTATCGTACATACAAGATTCAACTTTTCTAAGAGACTAAGTCATCTATATACAAGATTCAACTATCAATCTCAGTAAAAGCGGTTATTGCTTATCAATCACCGTTAACGAGAAACATTGAATTTTTATTTTGTTTATTCATTTTTAAATATCTTAACAAATTGCTTCGATCTATTACGTAATATATTGCAAGCCAGCATTAATGGCTGTCTAGTTATTGCAGCTAGGATCATCAAGGTGTTGATAAGTTTGGAGTCACATTAATTGAGGGTACTTTGACAAAATAGATTTTTCAACAAAGACACTATTGACTAGACCCATTTTATGTTAACTTTTTAAATTTGTTTTTAAAAATTGTGGAAGGGTATGGGTTTCTCTTAGATTTTGCGCCCCTGGTTGTAACTCTGGTCCCCCTAAGTTGACTATCTAGAACTATTATTCTCCAATTCAAATCTTTTACAAATCGGTTTTTTGCAGCACCGTATATTGCCCCAGGTAACCTGACGCCAGTTGTAGTGAATGAAACATCATGCGTCATCAAGTGGAGAAAGCCATTGGCAGACAAAGTTAAAGGAGTCATCAGAGCATACAAGGTCATATACAAAACAGTGTACACGGCGAGTGACTTTGTTAGCCATCTAGTTGTCAAGAAGGCAAGAAAGCGACGCGCTGTGATTTCTGAGCACTTAGAGATGGATCAGTAAGTTAACGCAGTTTGTCATATATGCAGAATTAGCTGTGTCGGAATCTTATACCATGGATCTAAGGTTTGCCAAATCCTGTTCACATTGATAGTGTTTTAATTTGCTTTTTCATAAGGAAAAACGTCACTTTGGGCCCGAATCAGTTAGAAGTGAAGCTCCAAAATCTGCAAGGATATACAAATTACAGTGTGCAGGTTTTGGCTGTCACACTCTACGATGGACCCATCAGCGATCCCATATATGTTTTTACCATGGAAACAAGTAAGCTTTTGTCTTTCTCAAAACAACAAATTACATTTCTTATTTAGGTATATTTGAATTATTATCAACTCAAAATTCCCTCGCTGGAGGCTTGAGAGAAATGACATTTTCCTTTCTAGAAAGTCACAACAGTATTACTATTTTTCTGGTGCTATTGATGTCTCATACTGGAAGTGTAAAAAAGCTTTACTGTTTCATTGCTGGCCTATTTGTTTCATTCATTCTACAGACATTTGAATGCAATTTTTTATTATGCACTCATAAAGACAGTCAAATTTCTCGGGATCGGGATACAATCTGCAGATTTATTCGGGACCGTGATAGATTCGGTAAAGTTACTCGGGATTCTAATGGACTTTGCAGAGTTTCTTGGGATCCTAATAGAATGGAATCCCGATGGAATCCATACGATTGATCTGGATCCCGATACAGTCTGTAGAGCTGCTCGGGATCCTGTTGAAATCTGTGGGGTTCCCAGAGATCCTGATAGAATCTGCAGAGCTCCTCAGGATCCTGATGTAATCTGTAGTATTAACTTGGATCCCGATGGAGTCTCGATTACGATTGATCTGGGTCCTGATACAGTTTATAGAGCTGCTCGGGATCCTAATGGAATCTGTAGCGTTACCTTGAATTCTAATGGATTCGGCAGAGTTGCTCAGAATCCTGGTGGAATCTGCAGAGCCTCACAAGTTTTTACTAGATGAGGTTTCGCTGTTAATGTCATTTGCCTAGGCCCTTCTACAGGAACCCATAGTTTTAACCTGACTGTTATAAACATTTACATCTATCATAGTTAAATGTATATAAACTTTTTCCCTCTTAGTTCCAGCCATGTCCCCTATTAATGTTACGGCCAGTGCCACCACATACACAGCACTGATGATAAAATGGAAACATTTGTTGCCTGCCTATGCACATGGTGCCATCGCTGGCTATGTGGTGTATTACCAATATGGCAACCATAGTTCAGCGAACGAGTTCAATGAGACTCAAGTAGCTGAAAATGAGTTTCTGGAAATTTCTCATCTCAAGATATTTGACTGGTACACTGTGCAGGTCGCTGCGTTTACGTCACAGGGAGTTGGTGTAAGAAGCTTGCCAGTACATGCAAAGACAGGAGAATACAGTGAGTCACCAGAGTGAATGTACTGTTGATTCTTAACAAGCTATAAATGATTTCTTGCGTCCGGCTACAAATTTAAAATGCAAGCAGCCACAAGCAGAAGAGGAAACAATACAAAAAGAATTCATTTTTAAATTAAATTGCTTTCACAAAGCGGCAAATCACGTCCGATTTTATACTCTAAATGAATTTTAAAAACTCAATTTTCAAGCAAA